ATACAACAGTAATGGACGGTATTGACCGTTTTGTATTGTAGACGTTCCAAAAAAAAACATTTGAACTGAGTCCATTTTCAACACGACAAGATAAGAATTGATTTGATAGAGCATTTCAGAAGGTTTTATTTTATTTTTATCTTTACATCAACATAAAATTAGAAGCCGATTTTTTTAGCTGCACACTGGAACTGGCCTCGGCAACAAATACACTAAATATATTTCCCAGACTCACATGAAGCATCTCCAATCAAAAGTTAGATCTAGAATCGGCTTCCTATTTCGCAACAAAGCTTCCTTCACTCATGCTGCCAAACATGCCCTCGTAAAACTGACTATCCTACCGATCCTTGACTTTGGCGATGTGTCATTTACAAAATAGCCTCCAACACTCTACTCAGCAAATTGGATGTAGTCTATCACAGTGCCATCCGTTTTGTCACCAAAGCCCCATATACTACCCACCATTGTGACCTGTACGCTCTTGTTGGCTGGCCCTCACTACATATTCGTCGCCAAACCCACTGGCTCCAGGTCATCTATAAATCACTGCTAGGCAAATCCCTGTCTTATCTTAGCTCACTGGTTACCATAGCAACACCCACCCGAAGTCTGCGCTCCAGCAGGTATATCTCACTGGTCATCCCCAAAGCCAACACCTCCTTTGGCCGCCATTCCTTCCAGTTCTCTGCTGCCAATGACTGGAACGAACTGCAAAAATCTCTGAAGCTGGAGACTCTTATCTCCCTCACTAACTTTAAGCATCAGTTGTCAGAGCAGCTTACCGATCACTGCACCTGTACACAGCCCATCTGTAATTAGCCCACCCAACTACCTCATCCCCATATTGTTATTTATTTTGCTAATTTGCACCCCAGTATCTCTATTTGCACATCATCTTTTGCACATCTATCATTCCAGTGTTAATACGAAATTGTAACTATTTTGCACTATGGCCTATTTGTTGCCTTACCTCCATAACTTACTACATTCGCACACACTGTATATAGATTTTCTGTTGTATTTTTTACTTTATGTTTTGTTTACCCCATATGTAACTATGTGTTGTTGTTTTTATCGCACTGCTTTGCTTTATTCTTGGCCAGGTCGCAGTTGTAAATGAGAACTTGTTCTCAACTGGCTTACCTGGTTAAATAAAGGTTACCGGTAAATAAAAAATAAAATAAAAAATGTTAAATCTTTTCGCCTGTGACCCAAAATGCTCCCAGTTTCAGAGACAGAGAACAGCAGTCAGTAGAAAACATCAGATCAGCCTCATCAACATAATCACTATCTTTGTCATCAATCAGCATTATTTTCACCAGTCAGCACAACTAAAAACTGCCTGTACCATTGCAGTGTGTTTCAACACTCGCTGGCAGCTTTCACCTCTGAAAGGACAAAGCTTGCACTTGTTCCAAGGACAAACACTAACAAAAACACACATTTGTTCTATAGTTGCAACCAACCGTCCTCTCAAAATACAAGTTTTCCTGTTCTTCCTACCACACCTATTCAGTAGTACACTCTTGCACATATATCCAAAGGCCTCAGAGCCTTCAAAACCCCAGTAGCGAGAGATGGAATTCAGAATATTTGAGTGTTAAACTCACGCTGCTCTGCTAGTGAGAAGGCTACCCAGGTGTTCATCCTGAAAAACAGAAGATTAAAAAAGAACAAAAGAAATATAGAACATTCTCTCTAGCAAGACTGCATCTACAGTGAGAAGAAAAAACACTGCTGACAATAAAGTGCTCGCATGCAGACAGACCATCTTTTGTGAGCAAAAAAGAAGTCATTTTTCATGCTGTCTAAAACAGAAAAGGTTTAGGTTAACCACCGAGGCCCAAATGTACCCCTCAACAGTTGGGCTTTTATTTTGTAAAAATATACTGGTTTCAAAACACCTTTTCAGGTTGGGAATGAAATCAAGGACTCTTACATGGAACAGTCTGTATACAACAGACTACATGGAACAGTCTGTATATAACAGACTACATGGAATAGTCTTTATACAACAGACTACATGGAATAGTCTTTATACAACAGACTCACTACATGGAGAATGTTTCTGTGACAAAACTAAAACATGAGGGACTTTTTATGGCATCAAATCATTGTAATAACAGACACTTGACATTATATTTGACATTTTATGCTTTTTTTTATTCAAGGTGCATGGTCAGGAGAAACATCTATAATTCTGGAAAAAGGTACTATTAAATTTCCTCCTAAGATATTTAGGAGAGGATTAAAAGTAATGACTAAAAGCACACTTCATTAATGTATTATTCATTTTATTTGGGAGTTGGGAAGAACTTATAGATTTGTTGTGAGCAAAGTAACAACTGTGAATGCAGCAGTATTCCAAATTGGAGTAATTCAGCCGATTTGCTCCAGGGGCATTGTACTACTATGGCTGACCCTGTAAAACAACACATTTCACTGCACCTATCCGGTGTATGTGACAATAAAACTCATTTTTAATAACATTTCTTTTTTATCTTCTCTTTAGTTTCTCGAGTTTCCAAATATATAGTTTGTGCTGTGACTGCAAGGTGAGATGAAGGCTTTGGTTGCCATCTCCAGAGGCTGGGAGGCTAATGAACCTTTTTCAATTTCTCAGCAACGCTTAATGTCAATCATTAAAACCTAATGGACTATTTCCACCTACTGACTATTGAGCTGTTTACAGTAAGAACTAAGAAGCAGCCTTAAACTCTTAAGAGCTGACAGAGGAAAGTCAGGACATTCCTTTAATGTAGCTCTAGAGATCAAGTGATTTTCAGTGCAAAACAAGCAATATAGGTCTCAGAAGAAGAAAGCTGTATTGATAACATAACAAGACCCCAAAAACATTACTGGTAAGATGGGAATTTTAAAAAATGCCCTCCGTAGGAAATTAGTCTTAGCTTTTCTCCTATCCTAAAGCCCAACTCTTAGCTTTTACTCCTATCCTAAAGCCCAACTCTTAGCTTTTACTCCTATCCTAAAGCCCAACTCTTAGCTTTTACTCCTATCCTAAAGCCCAACTCTTAGCTTTTACTCCTATCCTAAAGCCCAGCTCTTAGGCTTTTATTCCTATCCTAAAGCCCAACTCTTAGGCTTTACTCCTATCCTAAAGCCCAACTCTTAGCTTTTACTCCTATCCTAAAGCCCAACTTTTAGGCTTTACTCCTATCCTAAATCCCAACTCTTAGGCTTTACTCCTATCCTAAAGCCCAACTCTTAGGCTTTACTCCTATCCTAAAGCCCAACTTTTAGGCTTTACTCCTATCCTAAATCCCAACTCTTAGGCTTTACTCCTATCCTAAAGCCCAACTTTTAGGCTTTTACTCCTATCCTAAAGCCCAACTCTTAGGCTTTACTCCTATCCTAAAGCCCAACTCTTAGCTTTTACTCCTATCCTAAAGCCCAACTTTTAGGCTTTACTCCTATCCTAAATCCCAACTCTTAGGCTTTACTCCTATCCTAAAGCCCAACTCTTAGGCTTTACTCCTATCCTAAAGCCCAACTCTTAGGCTTTTACTCCTATCCTAAAGCCCAACTCTTAGGCTTTACTCCTATCCTAAAGCCCAACTCTTAGCTTTTACTCCTATCCTAAAGCCCAACTCTTAGGCTTTACTCCTATCCTAAAGCCCAACTCTTAGGCTTTACTCCTATCCTAAAGCCCAACTCTTAGGCTTTTACTCCTATCCTAAAGCCCAACTCTTAGCTTTTACTCCTATCCTAAAGCCCAACTTTTAGGCTTTACTCCTATCCTAAAGCCCAACTCTTCGGATTTACTCACACTGTAAAGGTCTCGTTCACTCTGTCTTTTCTCTCCCTCAGCCAGCCTCTCCCGTCTCCCCGTCTCCCCCGTCTCCCCCGTCTCCCCTGACACTATAAAACTAGAGATATGCGTGTCGTCAAAAGCTTCATTCCATTTCCTGTCGTCTCGACCAGTATAAAACGCCTCAGCTCCCGACTACGTTAGTAAGCATGCAAAAAAACCTATTGTTTATGGTATCGAATACATGTTAAGAAGAATGCACACCTAGTTCAGCAACACTTCAATAGACACCTCTCCGATAAAAAGGACATTAGCAAACCAAAAAATATGTAAATAAAATGCGAACACCACCACAACTCTGATGTTACCACATGGCGACCTGCTGCTATGTAGTGTGACCTCCATAGGTTCCTTTGCTTTATACAGCAGTTTAGTATTTGAGTCTCTGTAGGAATATGTTCTCATATATACATGAAGACAAGAAGAGGAATACCAGACAATCAATCCTCATTCTGTGTTAGCAGAAACAACCAATCAGCTGATATGATAAATAGCAGAAGAATAACAGACTAACAATCAGAAGAAAAAATTCAAAGTAAAAAGTAAAGAAACCCAAATACCTTTTTGTAAGTATTGCATGTCCCCGAAGACCACTGCGCGGCACAACTAACCAGTGACAGTAAGCAGGAAGGAAGGACGAGGTAAGACTACAGTACAACTACAGATGAACTACTACAGTACTACTACAGATGAACTACTACAGTACTACTACAGATGAACTACTACAGTACTTCTACAGATGAACTACTACAGTACTTCTACAGATGAACTACTACAGTACTTCTACAGATGAGAGCTGAGTGTATAATTCTATGACAGGGTGCCTGCTTTAGGGGACAAGGTGTTACATTACCGCCCCTGGCTGAATAGAGGTCAGGGGTCAAGAGTTAGGCACCCCCGTTCCCCCCTTCCTTTCCTTTGAGTGTGATGAGTGTGTGTGTGAATCTCATCCATCCTCCATCATCCATACGGGCCAGGCCGCCTCATTCCATCCAATAGCCATGCTCCCTCCACAAACACCACCAACTGTCTGCTGTTCGTGTGTTTTTGGTTGAACTGAAATGAGGGGCGTTGTCTTGTTGTGCTCTGCGAATGCAGAGACAGAGAAGACAGGACTTGGTGCGTGTGTGTTGGGGTCGTAGGAGTGGGGTCCGGAGGGGGTGGCGTCCTAGTTGAGGACTTGCGACGGTCCGTCGGGGCGTCGGGTTTGGACGATCTGCTGTTTCTGCTTGGGCCGTGCTTCGTCGCTGTCGTCCTCTGCATCGCTGTCGCACACATGAACTACAACGCTGGGGGTCGACTCGGTGCCCGCATGCAGCTCATACTTCTCCCCTGAAGAGGGAGAGGGTAGGGAGGAATGGAAGGAGAGAGACAGGGAAGGAGAGAGAGAGAAAGAGAGAGAGAGAGAGCGAGGCAGAGAGAGAAAGAAAAACAGAGAAAGACTTTAATACACCATTTATTAGCCTTTACAATGCCACACATCCATCAACAGGCCTACATCAGCATTTCAGTTTCAATCTCTTGATTAGATGGCCCATAAAAGTCTGATCTACCATTGAGGCAGATTGAACAGACTCCAGGAACAGATCCAAGCCTACAGTACCAGAGGTAGAGGAGCCTGTAAATAAGCCTGAAAGACAGAAATAACAACACTAACCGCTAAGCTAAGCTGCAAGATCAAAAATCTAATCAAATCATTTACATTTTTGTCATTTAGCAGACGCTGTTATCCAGAGCGACTTACAGTTAGTGAGTGCATACATTATTATTTTTTATTTTTTTCATTTTTCATACTGGCCCCCCGTGGGAATCAAACCCACAACCCTGGCGTTAACCCACAACCCTGCCGTTGCAAACGCCATGCTCTACCAACTGAGCTACATCCCTGCCGGCCATTCCCTCCCCTACCCTGGGCCAATTGTGCGCCGCCCCATGGGTCTAAAATCAAATTTTATTAGTTGCATACACATATTTAGCTGATGTTATTGGAGGTGTAGTGAAATGCTTGTATAACATGTCTCCTCTGGAACTATGAACTGAGTATTAGCCCTGCTATGGCTGATGTTATCAGCTGTAATAACACCGGCTGGCTGGCTGGCTGCAGCCTAATGAAATGTACTGCAGGCTAGGATAGGATCACACTGGCAATTGTTGCTATCGTGTGCCAAACTACTGCAATAGTAGAGGAGATATAATATATATTTATATATATTTAACATAACATTACTGTTATGGCATGGATTAAATGTTATATGATTCCTAAAATATACAGCCAGTATCAGTATATCAAATTGAGGTGAAATATCACAGATAAGATTTGATATGGTCGGTGCTGTGGAGTCCGGAGAATCCCAGGGTTAAGCAACACAAATGCCCTCATCCCAACCGCCCAAAATACATATGCAGATTGTATCACAGTTGCCATGGAGACCAGACAGGGCCAAGGGAAACAAGGGAAGAGGTTTCGCACACTGCTGTCTGACAGAAAAAGGCCCTATTTTGTCTCGGGAAGGTCACTACCACGGGAGGCCAGCAGAGAGCGCTAGCGGGCCACGCTGCAGCAGCGCACTAACATGATTTAGAGGCAGGCTAAAGAAGCCCCAGCAAGAGCCAGGGCCAATTTCCTGATGCCGCCTGGTGTTACCATAGGAACAGCACTATGGTGGTGGGTCTTGGCTGAAACATGGTAAATCATGTAATGTAGGAATTATCATTGTTCCTGTAATGCATTATGCTGAGGGGTGGTGGCAGTGCATATAAGATTAAGCCAAGTCAGAGAAATGCTAAATGACATCTTCTTTGACAGCCGTTCAGGTTTGTAGGTAGACCAAATAGAGGCACTCAGAGTGCTACAATATTCAGATGTCTGGATTTCCAGACAACCACAGACAAAAACCAAAGGCCGGGATTGGCCAAGAAAATCTCTTTGCCTCCTGTCCTGAACCTACTAAAACATATAATGGTGTAACTAACTATAGCGTCTGTCTGCCGTTAAGTCCATATATTACTGGTGAGGAGGGTTTCCTTTCCACAGATAACCAGGGTCTTTACCATTGTTAAAAAAAACGAATCTGTACATTCTTCTGAAGTGTGCACTTGTTCACTTCCCTTCACAGGGAAGATCTCAATAGCATACACTTTTGCCATGCTATGTTGTTGTCTTAGGTCTCACTTTATGTAGAGTTGTGGTGTCTCTCTTGTCGTGATGTGTGTTTTGTCCTATATTCTATTTGTATTTTTAATTTCAGCCCCCGTCCCCGCAGGAGGCCTTTTGCCTTTTGGTAGGCCGTCATTGTAAATAAGAATTTGTTCTTAACTGACTTGCCTAGTTAAATAAAGGTTAAATAAAAAACTCATTGCATCCATTCTCCTCTCTCCTCGTCTCCTTCTCAAAACCCATTGGAGGAGAAGGTCAAAGGGGAGGACCTTCTCCTCCAATGGGTTTTGAGAAGGAGACAAGGAAGGAAATGACTGAAGTAAGAAATATGGTGGAAACTCCTTCTAGCCCAATGCTTTTCAATTTGTGGGGAGTTGTGTACGAGCGCACACTTCAGGAGAAAGTCCAAATGACACAGTGAAGCATCCTGGGAGCTCGGTGACCTCTTGAACCATGTGACCCTACCGCCCTGTCCCCAGTAGAAAGAGCACTCCTTGTTTGATATGGCTGACATTTCTTAAAGGTCACCATCTGATTGCCAACGCTAGCCCTTTACCTAGCGAGAGAGACAGGGAAAGAGTATGACCAACGCTAGCCCTTAACTCAGCCAGACAGACAATCACAGAGTATGGCCAACGCTAGCCCTTAACTCAGCCAGACAGACAGTTTTTCATCGGCAGGGACTGGGAAACTGGTCAGAATTGAAGGAATGATGGATGGCGCTAAATACAGGGACATTCTTGAGGGAAACCTGTTTCAGTCTTCCAGAGATTTGAGATTTGATATGTGTATGTATATGTGTGTGCGTATGTATGTATGTATGTATGTATGTATGTGTGTGTGTGTGTGTGTGTGTGTGTACTGACCTGGGCCCAGCTTGGCCACCGCACACAGCAGGTCGTAGTTGATGACAGGCGTGGCATCTTCGCTCTGGCTCCAGCCCACGGGCGGCGAGGCAGGGGGCGAGATGAGGAACTGTTTGACGGGCGCGGGAGGAGCCAGGTACGACTTGTCTATATCCTCCCCAGAATTCTGAACCTATAGAAGGAGGAGAGGAGGAGAGGAGAGTGGGACATGTCAGAATGGATGTCAGGGATAAAATCTGGGTCATGTTCATTTGTAACGGAAAATGTTGAAAACATTTAGCAACTGAAAATGAAACAAGTCTAGGTAGTCCCTGCCTGTTTTGATTTTCTTCTGTTTGGTGCTTAATGAACACAACCCTGTTTCCATTCCCAATCGACCTCTAACTCTTACCCCTATAGACTCTTACCCCTATAGACTCTTACCCCTATAGACCCTTACCCCTATAGACCCTTACCCCTATAGACCCTTACCCCTTTAGACTCTTACCCCTTTAGACTCTTACCCCTATAGACCCTTACCCCTATAGACTCTTACCCCTATAGACGCTTACCCCTTTAGACTCTTACCCCTATAGACCCTTACCCCTATAGACTCTTACCCCTATAGACTCTTACCCCTTTAGACTCTTACCCCTATAGACCCTTACCCCTATAGACTCTTACCCCTATAGACCCTTACCCCTATATACCCTTACCCCTATAGACCCTTACCCCTATAGACTCTTACCCCTATAGACCCTTACCCCTTTAGACTCTTACCCCTACAGACCCTTACCCCTATAGACCCTTACCCCTATAGACTCTTACCCATATAGACCCTTACCCCTATAGACCCTTACCCCTATAGACTCTTACCCCTATAGACCCTTACCCCTATAGACCCTTACCCCTATAGACTCTTACCCCTATAGACTCTTACCCCTATAGACTCTTACCCCTATAGACCCTTACCCCTATAGACTCTTACCCCTATAGACCCTTACCCCTATAGACCCTTACCCCTTTAGACTCTTACCCATATAGACTCTTACCCATATAGACTCTTACCCATAGATACTTGACCTACCCCTTAGACCCTTACCCCTATAGACTCTTACCCCTATAGACCCTTACCCCTATAGACCCTTACCCCTATAGACTCTTTACCCCTATAGACCTTACCCTATAGACCCTTACCCCTATAGACTCTTACCCCCTATAGACCTACCCTAGACCCTACCCTATAGACCCTTACCCCTATAGACTCTTACCCCTATAGACTCTTACCCCTATAGACCTTACCCCTATAGACTCCTTACCTTCCTTATAAGACCTTACCCCTATAGACCCTTACCCCTATAGACTCTTACCCCTATAGACCCTTACCCCTATAGACTCTTACCCCTATAGACCCTTACCCCTATAGACTCTTACCCCTATAGACTCTTACCCCTATAGACCCTTACCCCTATAGACCTCCTATACCCCTATTAGACTCTTACCCCTATAACTCTTACCCCTATAGACCCTTACCCCTATAGACCCTTACCCCTATAGACTCTTACCCCTATAGACCCTTACCCCTATAGACTCTTACCCCTATAGACCCTTACCCCTATAGACTCTTACCCCTATAGACCTTACCCCTATAGACTCTTACCCCTATAGACTCTTACCCCTATAGACCTCCTTACACCCCTATAGACCCTTACCCCTATAGACTCTTCTATGACCTACCCTATAGACTCTTACCCTATAGACTCTTACCCCATCTAGACCCTACCCCTATAGCCCCTTACCCTATAGACTCTTACACTATAGACATCTGACCCCTATACCCCCTTACCCCTATAGACTCTTACCCCTATAGACTCTTACCCCTATAGACTCTTACCCCCCTATAGACCCTTACCCCTATAGACCCTTACCCCTATAGACCCTTACCCCTATAGACCCTTACCCCTATAGACTCTTACCCCTATAGACCCTTACCCCTATAGACTCTTACCCCTATAGACCCTTACCCCTATAGACCCTTACCCCTATAGACTCTTACCCCTATAGACCCTTACCCCTATAGACTCTTACCCCTATAGACTCTTACCCATATAGACTCTTACCCCTATAGACCCTTACCCCTATAGACTCTACCCCTATAGACCCTACCCCTATAGGACTCTACCCCTATAGACCTTACCCCTATAGAACCCTTAACCCCTATAGACTCTTACCCCTATAGACTCTTTACCCCTAGATACTCTACCCCTATGACCTTACCCCTATAGACCCTTACCCCTATAGACCTCTACCCCCTATAACCCTGACCCCTATAGACTCTTACCCCTATACTCTTACCCCTATAGACCCTTACCCCATAGACTCTTACCACTACATTCTCAATGGGAGAGTACAGTAGAGAAATAGAGAAAGGATGAAAGCCTGCACACAAATATGCTCCTCCCGAGTGTTTTGATTCAACATGCACCACAAGTGCCTTCAGAAAATATTCATACCCCTTGACTTATTCCACATTTTGTTGTGTTACAGCCTGAATTCAAAATGGATTCACCCATCTACACACAATACCCCATAATGATAAACATTTTGTAAGAGATTTTAGCAAATGTATTGAAAATGAAATACAGAAATATCTAATTTACATAAGTATTCACACCCCTGAGTCAATACTTTGTAGAAGCACCTTTTGCAGCGATTACAGCTGTGAGTCTTTCTAGGTAAGTCTATAAGAGCTTTCCACACCTGGATTGTGCAACATTTGCACATTATTATTTTCAAAATTCTTCAAGCTCTGTCAAATTGGTTGTTGATCATTGCTAGACAACCATTTTCAGGTCTTGCCATACATTTTCAAGTAGATTTAAGTCAAAACTGTAACTCGGCCAGTCAGGAACATTCACTGTCTTCTTGGTAAGCAACTCCAGTGTAGATTTGGCCTTGTGTTTTAGGTTATTTTCCTGCTGAAAGGAGAATTCACCTCCCAGTGTCTGATGGAAAGCAGACTGAACCAGGTTTTCTTTTAGGATTTTGCCTGTGCTTAGCTCCATTCAATTTCCTTTTTATCCTGAAAAGCATATCCATAACATGATGCAGCCACCACTATGTTTGAAAATATGGAGAATGGTACTCAGTAACGTGTTGTATTGGATTTGCCCCAAACATACACTACATGACCAAAAGTATGTGGACACCTGCTCATCGAACATCTCATTCCAAAATCATGGGCATTAATATGGATTTGGTCCCCCCTTTTGCTGCTATAACAGCCTCCACTCTTTTGGGAAGGCTTTCCACTAGGTATTGGAACATTGCTGAGGGGACTGAGGAGACTCACTTAGTGAGGTCGGGCACTAATGTTGGGGATTTAGGCCTGGCTCGCAGTCGGTGTTCCAATTCATCCCAAAGGTGTTTGATGGAGTTGAGGTCAGGGCTCTGTGCAGGCCAGTCAAGTTCTTCCACATCGAGCTCGACAATACATTTCTGTGTGGACCTCGCTTTGTGCACGGGGTTATTGTCATGCTGAAACAGGATATGGCCTTCCCCAAACTGTTGCCACATAGTTGGAAGCACAGAATAGTTCCTTCACTGGAACTAAGGGGCCTAGCCCAAACCATGAAAACCAGCCCCAGAACATTATTCCTCCACCAAACTTTACAGTTGGCACTATACATTCGGGCAGGTAGCGTTCTCCTGGCATCTGCCAAACCCAGATTTGTCAGTCGGACTGCCAGATGGTGAAGCGTGATTCATCACTCCAGTGAACGTGTTTCCACTGCTCCAGAGTCCAACGGCGGCGAGCTTTACACCACTCCAGCCGACGCTTGGCATTGCGCATGGTGATCTTAGGCTTGTGTGCGCTGCTCGGCCATGGAAACCCATTTCATGAAGCTCCCGACGAACAGTTATTGTGCTGACATTGCTTCGAGAGGCAGTTTGGAACTCAGTAGTGAGTGTTACAACCGAGGACAGAAGATTTGTACACGTTACGTGCTTCAGCACTCGGCAGTCCCGTTCTGTGAGCTTGTGTGGCCTACCACTTCGCGGCTGAGCTGTTGTTGTTCCTAGACGTTTCCACTTCAGTTGACCGGGGAAGCTCTAGCAGGGCAGAAATTTGACGAACTGACTTGTTTGAAAGGTGGCATCCTATGACGGTGCCACGTTGAAAGTCACTGAGCTCTTCAGTAAGGCCATTCTACTGCCAATGTTTGTCTATAGATATTGCATGGCTGTGTGCTCGATTTTATACACCCGTCAGCAACGAGTGTGGCTAAAATAGCCGAATCCACTAATTTGAAGGGGTGTCCACATCCTTTTGCATATATAGTGTAACACTTTGTATTCAGGACAAAAAGTTAATTACTTTGCCACATGTTTTGCAGTACTTCAGTGCCTCGTTGCAAACAGGATGCATGTTTTGGAATATTGTTATTCTGTACAGGCTTCCTTCTTTTCACTCTGTCAATTAGGTTAGTATTGTGGAGTAACTACAATGTTGTAGATCCATCCTCAGTTTTCTCCTATCACAGCCATTAAACTCTTTAACTGTTTTAAAGTCAGTGTTGTTGGGGCCAGTGTTGTTGGGGCCAGTGTTGTTGGGACCAGTGTTGTTGGGGCCAGTGTTGTTGGGACCAGTGTTGTTGGGACCAGTGTTGTTGGGACCAGTGTTGTTGGGACCAGTGTTGTTGGGGCCAGTGTTGTTGGGGCCAGTGTTGTTGGGGCCAGTGTTGTTGGGGCCACTTTCACACCCTTGGAGAGTACAGTACATGCCCTACGATTCAGTATACTGCTCTGTGTTTAGCCTCTGTAATACCTGGGGTCGTGCTCATTAGGTACCAAATGAAAGAAAACAGACTAACTGGAAGAAAACAGACCCCAGGGCTAACCTGGACTGTAATGACTACCATATCTCCCAACAGGCCCCAGCTCCGGCCCAAACCTTCCCCCAGGAAGAGCTCACTCACCTGGGCGAAGTAGAGCTTGAGCTGCTTGCCGTTGAACTCAGTCTCGTGGAGCTCGATGCGAGCGCGGGCGGCCGCTTCCGGAGTGCTGAAGCTGATGCGGACTCGCCTGAAGCTCTTGAACATCTGGAAGGACGTCTGCTCGTCATAGATCCTGAACAGGGCCTCGAACCGCTCCTGGGAGAGAAGGAAAGAAAGAGAGGGCGGGCATTTTAGACTAGAGATGACCCTGCACCTGTCCTGAAATGTCTCTGTTAAAGGAATAATCCATTCAAAAACCAGCATTCTGCTGCATGTTACATGCTGTTGATTATGTTTATGAGGAAGTTCTACAGTCTGCTGTAGTTTTAGCACTACTAACTTCCTGTTCACATAGCTATTAATTAAAATGTCAATTCATGTTTCGAGCTCTATCACAGGTTTGTGCTTGGAAGTTTCTAACTATGACATTGCATTGATGTTTGATATTTTGGAATTTACTTCTGATACAGTCCCAACATGTTTTGCATGTTAGCAATCACATTTTGGGTTAGAGCAACTGTGATTGAATTCGGCTGAACAGAAAGGCTCTCAATCACATACATACCGTAGTTTTACTAAAAGGACACAATTGAATGAATTAAGCATATACTATGACACAAAATAAGAATTAGTCCTTAAACTAAAACAAAAATAATATTGGTACACGTATGTGTCATACTTTACTACTGGTACTAGATCATAACATGTAATTCACCTCTTGTTCCAATAGTATCGTCCAACACATGCACGTTAGTACCGTGTAGATATGGGGATATGGACGTGTCAAGGTATGAGACATTACTCACTACAGTAACAGGCTGGTAAAGAGAGTAAGCTGTGGGAAAGTTAAAAGTGAATAAGCTGCTTGTACAAGATGAGCACTCCCCAATCCCCATTCAAATTCCCTCAGCTGCTTTCCAGCCAGAGCTACAGGTAACTGCCAAAATAAAGGAAACATTTGAGTAAATTAGGGATACAAAGTATATTGAAAGCAGGTGCTTTTTCAACCACTCCACAAATGTCTTGTTAACAAACTATCGTTTTGGCAAGTCGGTTAGGACATCTACTTTATGCATGACACAAGTAATTTTTTCCAACAATTGTTTACAGACAGATTATTTCACTGTATCACAATTCCAGTGGGTCAGAAGTTTACATACACTAAATTGACTGTCCCTTTAAACAGCTTGGAAAATTCCAGAAAATGATGTCATGGCTTTAGAAGCTTCTGATAGGCTAATTGACATCATTTGAGTCAATTGGAGGAGTACCTGTGGATGTATTTCAAGGCCTACCTTCAAACTCAGTGCCTCTTTGCTTGACATGATGGGAAAATCAAAAGAAATCAGACAAGACCTCAGAAAAATAATTGAAGACCTCCACAAGTCTGGTTCATCCTTGGGAGCAATTTCCAAACGCCTGAAAGTACCACGTTCATCTGTACAAACAATAGTACGCAAGTATAAACACCATGGGACCATGCAGCCATCATACCGCTCAGTAAGGAGACGCGTTCTGTCTCCTAGAGATGAACGTACATTGGTGCGAAAAGTGCAAATCAATCCCAGAATAACAGCAAAGGACCTTGTGAAGATGCTGGAGGAAACAGGTACAAAAGTATCTATATCCACAGTAAAACAACTCCTATATCGACATAACCTGAAAGGCCGCTCAGCAAGGAAGAAGCCACTGCTCCAAAACTGCACATGGGGACAAATATCGTAATTTTTGGAGAAATGTCCTCTGGTCTGATGAAACAAAAATAGAACTGTTTGGCCATAATGACCATCGTTATGTTTGGAGGAAAAAGGGGGTGCTTTGCAAGCCGAAGAACACCATCCCAACCGTGAAGCATGGGGGTGGCAGAATCATGCTGTGGGGGTGCTTTGCTGCAGGAGGGACTGGTGCACTTCACAAAATAGATGGCATCATGAGGAAGGAAAATTATGTGGATATATTGAAGCAACATCTCAAGACATCAGTAAGGAAGTTAAAGCTTGGTCGCAAATGGGTCTTCCAAATGGACAATGACCCCAAGCATACTTCCAAAGTTGTGGCAAAATGGCTTAAGGACAACAAAGTCAAGGTATTGGAGTGGCCATCACAAAGCCCTGACCTCAATCCTATAGAAAATGTGTGGACAGAACTGAAAAAGCATGTGCGACCAAGGAGGCCTACAAACCTGACTCAGTTACACCAGCTCTGTCAGGAGGAATGGGCCAAAATTCACCCAACTTATTGTGGGAAGCTTGTGGAAGGCTACCCAAAACGTTTGACCCAAGTTAAACAATTTAAATGCAATGCTACCAAATACTAATTGAGTGTATGTAAACTTCTGACCCACTGGGAATGTGATGAAAGAAATAAAAGCTGAAATAAATCAATCATTCTCTCTACTATTATTCTGACATTTCACATTCTTAAAATAAAGTGGTGATCCTAACTGACCTAAGACAGGGAATTTCTACTAGGATTAAATGTCAGGAATTGTGAAAAACTGAGTTTAAATGTATTTGGCTAAGGTGTATGTAAACTTCCGACTTCAACTGTATGTGAAAACTATGTGAAAAGATGCATACTTTCAGTTTTTCGAACTCACTTCACTAGTACATAAGAGAGAGGCTTGCGCTACCCGGTGCTAGCACATACACAGATCAAATACACTGCTGGAACGGCGATTAAGCTGTTTATGTCCTAATAGTTGGAAAGGTCATGTCCTAATAGTTGGAAAGGTCATGTCCTAATAGTTGGAAAGGTTATGTCCTAATAGTTGGAAAGGTCATGTCCTAATAGTTGGAAAGGTTATGTCCTAATAGTTGGAAAGGTTATGTCCTAATAGTTGGAAAGGTCATGTCCTAATAGTTGGAAAGGTCATGTCCTAATAGTTGGAAAGGTCATGTCCTAATAGTTGGAAAGGTCATGTCCTAATAGTTGGAAAGGTCATGTCCTAATAGTTGGAAAGGTTATGTCCTAATAGTTGGAAAGGTTATGTCCTAATAGTTGGAAAGGTTATGTCCTAAGAGTTGGAAAGGTCATGTCCTAATAGTTGGAAAGGTCATGTCCTAATAGTTGGAAAGGTCATGTCCTAATAGTTGGAAAGGTCATGTCCTAATAGTTGGAAAGGTTATGTCCTAATAGTTGGAAAGGTTATGTCCTAATAGTTGGAAAGGTTATGTCCTAATAGTTGGAAAGGTCATGTCCTAATAGTTGGAAAGGTCATGTCCTAATAGTTGGAAAGGTTATGTCCTAATAGTTGGAAAGGTCATGTCCTAATAGTTGGAAAGGTCATGTCCTAATAGTTGGAAAGGTTATGTCCTAATAGTTGGAAAGGTCATGTCCTAATAGATGGAAAGGTCATGTCCTAATAGTTGGAAAGGTCATGTCCTAATAGTTGGAAAGGTTATGTCCTAATAGTTGGAAAGGTCATGTCCTAATAGTTGGAAAGGTCATGTCCTAATAGTTGGAAAGGTCATGTCCTAATAGTTGGAAAGGTTATGTCCTAATAGTTGGAAAGGTCATGTCCTAATAGTTGGAAAGGTCATGTCCTAATAGTTGGAAAGGTTATGTCCTAATAGTTGGAAAGGTCATGTCCTAATAGTTGGAAAGGTCATGTCCTAATAGTTGGAAAGGTCATGTCCTAATAGTTGGAAAGGTCATGTCCTAATAGTTGGAAAGGTCATAGTCCTAATCGTTGGAAAGGTCATGTCCTCCTAATAGTTGGAAAGGTCATGTCCTAATAGTTGGAAAGGTCATGTCCCAATAGTTTGGAAAGGTCCATGTCCATAAGAGTTTGGAAAGGTTATAGTACTAACTAGTTGGAAAGGTTATGTCCTAATAGTTGGAAAGTTTGATGGTCCTAATAGTTGGAAAGGTAATGTTCCTAAGAGTTGGAAAGGTCATGTCCTAATATTGAAGGGTAGTCCTATAGTTGGAAAGTTATGTCCTAATAGGTGGAAGGTTATGTCCTAATAGTTGGAAAGGTATGTCCTAATAGGTTGGAAAGGTCTGTCCTAATAGGTTGGGAAAAGGTGCATGTCCTAATAGTTGGAAAAGGTATATCCCTAATAGTGGAAAGGTCATGTCCCTAATAGTTGGAAAGGTCTAAGTCCGAATAGTTGGAAAGGTTATGTCCTATAGTTGGTAAAGGTCCATGTCCTAATAGATGGAAAGGTCAGTCCTAATAGTTGGAAAGGTCATGTCCTAATAGTTGGAAAGGTCATGTCCTAATAGTTTGGAAAGGTCATGTCCTAATAGTTGGAAAGGTTATGTCCTAATAGTTGGAAAGGTTATGTCCTAATAGTTGGAAAGGTTATGTCCTAATAGTTGGAAAGGTCATGTCCTAATAGTTGGAAGGTCATGTCCTAATAGTTGGAAAGGTTCATGTCCTAATAGTTGGAAAGGTCATGTCCTAATAGTTGGAAAGGTCATGTCCTAATAGTTGGAAAGGTATGTCCTAATAGTTGGAAAGGTTCATGTCCTAATAGTGGAAAGGTCATGTCCTAATAGTTGGAAAGGTCATGTCCTAATAGTTGGAAAGGTCATGTCCTAATAGTTGGAAAGGTCATGTCCTAATAGTTGGAAAGGTCATGTCCTAATAGTTGGAAAGGTTATGTCCTAATAGTTGGAAAGGTTATGTCCTAATAGTTGGAAAGGTCATGTTCCTAATAGTTGGAAAGGTCATGTCCTAATAGTTGGGAAAGGTCATGTCCTAATAGTTGGAAAGGTTATGTCCCTAATAGTTGGAAAGGTCATGTCCTAATAGTTGGAAAGGTCATGTCCTAATAGTTGGAAAGGTTATGTCCTAATAGTTGGAAAGGTCATGTCCTAATAGTTGGAAAGGTTATGTCCTAATAGTTGGAAAGGTCATGTCCTAATAGTTGGAAAGGTCATGTCCTAATAGTTGGAAAGGTCATGTCCTAATAGTTGGAAAGGTCATGTCCTAATAGTTGGAAAGGTCATGTCCTAATAGTTGGAAAGGTTATGTCCTAATAGTTGGAAAGGTTATGTCCTAATAGTTGGAAAGGTCATGTCCTAATAGTTGGAAAGGTCATGTCCTAATAGTTGGAAAGGTCATGTCCTAATAGTTGGAAAGGTCATGTCCTAATAGTTGGAAAGGTCATGTCCTAATAGTTGGAAAGGTCATGTCCTAATAGTTGGAAAGGTCATGTCCTAATAGTTGGAAAGGTCATGTCCTAATAGTTGGAAAGGTCATGTCCTAATAGTTGGAAAGGTCATGTCCTAATAGTTGGAAAGGTCATGTCCTAATAGTTGGAAAGGTCATGTCCTAATAGTTGGAAAGGTCATGTCCTAATAGTTGGAAAGGTCATGTCCTAATAGTTGGAAAGGTCATGTCCTAATAGTTGGAAAGGTCATGTACCTATATAGTGGAAAGGTATGTCCTAATAGTTGGAAAGGTTGTCCTAATAGTGAAGGTCATGTCCTAATAGTGGAAGGTCATGTCCTAATAGTGGAAAGGTCATGTCTAATAGTTGGAAAGGTTATGTCCTATAGTTGGAAAGGTCATGTCCTAATAGTTGGAAAGGTCATGTCCAAAGTTGGAAAGGTCATGTCCTAATAGTTGGAAAGGTCATGTCAATAGTTGGAAAGGATGTAATGTTGAAAGGTCATGTCCTAATAGTTGGAAAGGTCATGTCCTATATTGGAAAGGTCATGTCCTAATAGTTGGAAAGTCATGTCAATAGTTGGAAAGGTCATGTCCTAATAGTGGAAAGGTCATGTCCTAATAGTTGGAAAGGTCATGTCCTAATAGTTGGAAAGGTCATGTCCTATAGTTGAAGGTCATGCTAATAGTTGGAAGGTCATGTCCTACATAGTTGGAATCATGTCCAGTGAAAGGTCATGTCCTAATATTGGAAAGGTCATGTCCTAATTTGTGGAAAGGTCATGTCCTAATAGTGGAAAGGTCATGTCCTATAGTGAAGTTTCCTATGTTGGAAAGTCATGTCCTAATAGTTGGAAAGGTCATGTCCTATATCCTAGTTGGAAAGGTCATGTCCTAATTTGGAAAGGTCATGATCCTACATGTGGTTAATTCCTATGTGGAACAGTAGATCCTAAGTGAAAGGTGAGGTTAAGTTCATGTCAATGTGAATTGCCTCATGCACATGTTTAATCTATGCACTCTATGTCGATTAGAACTTCGCCATATTTACATCAATAGATAGGTTACATGATGAGCCATACCGTGCCTTGCATAATCTCTTCCCAATACAAATATATGCAGTGAACAACTCAATGTAATTCGATACGCAAGACATTTCGAAGAGCCTATGTAGTGTCAGCGAGCAGTCAAACTGAGGAAAGGATGTCTGCAGCGCCCAATACACATCACATCTGAGTGAACTGTAAATCCAAAATCGATAACAATCAAACATCTACATGTTGGCAGCACTAAGTAAGTTCAGCAACCCTACCTAGCCCCTCCAGAAGCCTGCAAAGGCATTCTACATCCTACTCCAAAGGCATTCTATATTCTACTGCAAAGGCATTCTACATCCTACTGCAAAGGCATTCTACATCCTACTGCAAAGGCATTCTAAATCCTACTGCAAAGGCATTCTACATCCTACTGCAAAGGCATTCTATATCCTACTGCAAAGGCATTCTACATCCTACTGCAAAGGCATTGACCTCCTACATTGTTACATTTGGTGGCAGCAGTGAGATCCTGCAGTAGAGGCTGAGGTTAATCTGCATCGTCACAACTGTGTTCAATTCCTCATGTCACTGTTTAATCTAGCCTCTATGGTGATTAGAACCTCTCGCATCACTATATTACATCACATAATATAGTTACATATGAGCTGTGGCTGTGAGTCAATCTCTCCCAATTGTAGCCAAATATAAATACAGTAGATGAAACTCAAGATAAATATTGTATAACGCAGACAGAACCATTCGAAAGCTGTCGTGGTACAGCGAGCCAGGAAACTGAGGAAAGGCATGTTTGCGTCAGCCCTGCTACATCTGCCATCGCCATGTTTCCTGCTGTGCCCCACTCCTTGTGTGTTTGTATGTGTGTGTGTGTGTGTGGGGGGGGGGGGGTTGTATGTGCGTGTATGTTTTGTACAGGTGTGTGTTTGTGAATGTATAGGTATACAGTATGTCTGTGAATGTATAGGTGTGTGTGTGTGTGTGTGCTATTTCAATACTTATGTATTTTAGTATTTTCAAATACTATTTTCAAATACCTGAGTTAGCTGCATGGGAGTGTATTTGAGTCAATGTATTTGAGTATTTTCAAATATATGCCAATACTTTCCAAGTGTGTATTTCCAAATACATTCAAATATTCAACTATTTGTTTTTTCAAATAAAACATATTGGAATAAATGTATGTGAAAGTAATTGAGATATTTGAAATAGTATTTGAACCCAGCTCTGGTGTGTGTGTGTGCGCGTGAGAAATGGGATAACATGGTGGAACATTGTGGTCCGGAGACCCACTTGTAGAAAATGAAATTAAGATCTACAGGTGAGTTCCAGTCCTATACTGTAGTAATGCTTCTTCTTGTTTTTAGCTGATAGGAGTGGACTCCGGTGTGGTCGTCTGCTGCAATAGCCAATCCGTGACAAGGACCAACGAGTTGTGCATTCTGAGATGCCGTTCTGCACACCACTGTTGTACTGCCCCGTTATTTGCCTGTTTGTGGCCTGCCTGCTAGCTTGCACAATTCTTGCTATTCTCCTTCGACCTCTCTCATCAACGAGCTGTTTTTGCCCACAGGACTGCCGCTGACTGAATGTTTTTTGTTTGTCGCACCATTCTCGGTAATCCCTAGACACTGTTGTGCGTGAAAAGCCCAGGAGGCCGGCCGTTTCTGAGATACCGGAACTGGTGCACCTAGCACCGACAATCATACCATGTTCAAAGTCGCTTAGGTCACTAGTTTTGCCCATTCTAACGTTCAATCGAACAGTAACTGAATGCCTTCGATGCCCATCTGCCTGCTTTATAAAGCAAGCCACGGCCACGTGACTCACTGTCTGTAGGAGCAAACCAGTTCACTGTCTGTAGGAGCAAACCAGTTCACTGTCTGTAGGAGCAAACCAGTTCACTGTCTGTAGGAGCAAACCAGTTCACTGTCTGTAGGAGCAAACCAGTTTAGTGAACGACAACTGAGTGTCTATTGGCAAGAGCACAAACAGATCTGGGACCAATAGCACAAAGAGATCTGGGACCAATAGCACAAACAGATCTGGGACCAATAGCACAAATAGATCTGGGACCAATAGCACAAAGAGATCTGGGACCAATAGCACAAACAGATCTGGGACCAATAGCACAAATAGATCTGGGACCAATAGCACAAAGAGATCTGGGACCAATAGCACAAATAGATCTGGGACCAATAGCACAAAGAGATCTGGGACCAATAGCACAAATAGATCTGGGACCAAGAGCACAAACAGATCTGGGACCAATAGCACAAAGAGATCTGGGACCAATAGCACAAATAGATCTGGGACCAAGAGCACAAACAGATCTGGGACCAATAGCACAAAGAGATCTGGGACCAATAGCACAAATAGATCTGGGACCAAGAGCACAAAGAGATCTGGGACCAAGAGGACAAAGAGATCTGGGACTGATGTGGATTTTTACATTAATATGGATTTTTATCTCTGTTGCTAGGCAAGAACTCAATTGGTTCCTCTCACTGGGTTTGTGTGTGTGTGAAATGGGCATCTGACCTGTGTTCGGGTCAAATTCTACAGTTGTCTTATCTTATCAGTGACTGAAACCAGACTGTGACCCTGTGGCTCTCCTTAGGCATATCCCTGGAACGAGCCAGGGTTGAACAGAGTTCAGGTTAAACCCTTTGTCTCTCCTTGGGTGTCTTCTTGATTAATTACAGCCTGACAGGGTGGGAGAGAGGGGTTGGGCTTGGGTATTTTTGAGAGATTGATTGTGGACCTGCCATGTCCACAATCAATCTCCAGGTCAAGCAAGGGTGAGCCGGGGTTGAACAGAGTTCAAACTGAACATGATTATTTTTGCATGACAAAGCTTGGTTGGTCACACCACCATTGTTTCCAAACTGAATAGAAGTCAGATTTCGCCACTATCATAAACTAAGGAAGTGGGTGGAGCGGTCAAGAGGTGAAAACTGGAGACAGTGGTGGTGGAACCAAAGAGGGAGGGGTTAAACTAAAATGTATGTAAAATGACTATATAAACTGAGAGCTGAGATATGGAAGGGAGATGCTCTGCAGACCACTTGGCTTTGTCCATTGTAATAATTCTACAAAAACTCTGGAAATACTTTTGTTCTTTGATCAGTATAAGGATGAATTTGCCACATCAGGACCAATAGCACAAACAGATCTGGGACCAAGAGCACAAACAGATCTGGGACCAAGAGCACAAACATATCTGGGACCAAGAGCACAAACAGATCTGGGACCAAGAGCACAAACAGATCTGGGACCAGTTTACTCAGGCTTAACACAGAGTAAGTCTTTAATCGCATGGACAGTTAAGTACAGTATGTTGTAATACATCGCTAAGATAATAAGCTTGATGAACCCAATGACATTGGTGAGTAGTAGGTTAGTAGTAGTATTACAGTATAGGACTCGTTGGTCCTTGTCATGGATTGGCTATTGCAGCAGACGACCACACCGGGTTCCACTCCTATCAGCTAAAAACAAGAAGCAGCGGCTCCAGTGGACAGGCCATCACCAACACTGGACAAGTGAGGAGTTGAAAAACATCGCCTGGTCAGACGAATCCCGGTTCCTGTTGCGTCATGCTGATGGCAGAGAGATTAGTGGTTTGGTTCATCAGGCTTGCTTCCTAACTCTATACTATGGCTTAATTTACCCATATCTAATTTACTGTAATATTGTCTGGGCCAGTACATATGCCTCCTACCTACACAAATTACTCATCATACAAAATAAATGTGCAAGACTAGCCACCTCCTCTAATTACCTGGCTCCATCTGCACTTCTGTTTAAGAAACTCAATATCTTTTCTATTTACGACATTAATGTACGCCAATTATGCACTTTCATCTACGAATACTCATACCTCCCAGACAGTTTACCTAAACCCTTCAATGGATTCTTCCAGGTTAAATCTCAAATCCATCTATATAACAAGACACTGCGAAAACCTTCACCCTCCCCACTGCCACACCTCACATAGTCAATTCTCTATCAGATATAGAGGTACCATACTCTGGAATTCTTATCGTCACATTGCAAAAACCTCATCATCCCTCAATAACTTCAAGCGAAGACTGGGGGTCAGCCTGATGAACCAAACGACTCAGTAATCTCCTCCATGAAGACTGGGGGTCAGCCTGATGAACCAAACTACTCAGTAATCTCCTCCATGAAGACTGGGGGTCAGCCTGATGAACCAAACTACTCAGTAATCCCCTCCATGAAGACTGGGGGTCAGCCTGATGAACCAAACGACTCAGTAATCTCCTCCATGAAGACTGGGGGTCAGCCTGATGAACCAAACTACTCAGTAATCTCCTCCATGAAGACTGGGGGTCAGCCTGATGAACCAAACTACTCAGTAATCTCCTCCATGAAGACTGGGGGTCAGCCTGATGAACCAAACTACTCAGTAATCCCCTCCATGAAGACTGTGGGTCAGCCTGATGAACCAAACTACTCAGTAATCTCCTCCATGAAGACTGGGGGTCAGCCTGATGAACCAAACTACTCAGTAATCTCCTCCATGAAGACTGGGGGTCAGCCTGATGAACCAAACTACTCAGTAATCCCCTCCATGAAGACTGGGGTCAGCCTGATGAACCAAACTACTCAGTAATCTCCTCCACATAGCCTAACTCTCACACACTCACATGCACACACACATTTAAACAAAACAAATATCTTTTTTTTGTGTGTGTGATTACTGATCAATTCATTTGTACATTTATAATTAGTAGGTTTTGTTATCTGTTTTAACAAACCTTTTTTATCTGTGTACTTATGTATTGTATATAGTGTTTTTGTGGTGTGGTTTTCATATCAACCCTTGGGCTTCCAACCACACCTGTACACCATTTTTTATTTATTTGTTTTTATCTGTATTGTTGTCTATCACTTGTTTTCTTAAAACAATTTTTTAAAGGATTTGGCGTAAGCAGCATGAGTCCATGGCCCCATCCTGCTGGTGTCAACAGTACAGGCTGGTGGCAGTGGTGTAATGGTTTGGGGAATATTTTCCTTGTACACGTTAGGTCCCTTGATACCAATTGAACAAAGTTTCCATGCCCCAAGGCTGTACTGGAGGCAAAGGGGAGTCCAACCCAGTACTAGATGGGTGTACCTAATAAACTGGCCACTGAGTGTATCTCACTTCTCTGTTATAAAAAGTATTTAAAAAGTATACAAATACGAGGCACCAAACACACAGGGTTGGTTAACTCCTGAGGTCCCTTGTGTCTCTACCAACCTAGGTAAATCAGCACCTTAGTTTTAACGTCCCCCATGTTTGGAATAATTTACTAACCACATTACATCTTGAATCCCTGGTGCCAATAGGGAAGTTTAAAACTTTGATGAGGAAAGTTCCTTGGCGTACACATCACTGACAAACTGAAATGGTCCACCCATGCAGACAGTGTGGTGAAGAAGGCGCAACAGAGCCTCTTCAATCTCAGGAGGCTGAAGAAATTTGGCTTGGCACCTAAAACCCTCACAAACTTTTACAGATGCACAATTGAGAGCATCCTGTCGGGCTGTATCACCGCCTGGTACGGCAACTGCACCGCCCGCAACCGCAGGGCTCTCCAGAGGGTGGTGTGGTCTGCCGAACGCATTACCGGGGGCAAACTACCCGCCCTCCAGGACACCTACAGCACCCGATGTCACAGGAAGGCCAAAAAGATCATCAAGGACATCAACCACCCGAGCCACTGCCTGTTCACCCCGCTATCATCCAGAAGGCGAGGTCAGTACAGGTGCATCAAAGCTGGGACCGAGAGAATGAAAAACAGCTTCTATCTCAAGGCCATCAGACTGTTAAATAGCCATCACTAGCACATTAGAAACACAAGCATTTTGCTACACCCGCAATAACATCTGCTAAACACGTGTATGTGACAAATACAATTTGATTTGATTTGATTTGTACTAATGTATTTGTGTTGTTGAAATGTAGTGTGTCTGTGCTGTATCTTGTAGATTTCTTTTGTTTGTTGCTGTTTTATTGAATTCATTTCATTTGTGCATTTTTTGTTCTCAGGGCACCATTAAGAATGAGACCCTGGTCTCAATTGGGCCCCCCTGAATAAATAAAAGTACAAAATGCAATAACATAAATAACAAATCCATTGCTGTATGCTGTCATTGTCAAGACAAAAATGTTTAGCATGAAAATGATGGACAAGGAGTTGGTATGACTGGCAATTAAACATACATTTCACATTTACATTTAAGTAATTTCGCCTTATTACAATCATAGGCAATCTTATCCAGAGCGACTTATAATCATAGACAAGCACAGCATGAGTCTGGTATCTAATATCTATGACAAAGGGTAGCAAGCCACGGAGCAGCTGTGGTGCCTGTACATATAACTTCATTTCTCCTCTGGGCTCTGGTGTAACCTGAGAATCTGTTCTCTCATAAATAAGGGGTCATGTTCGCATGTGGGCGCGGGCCAAATAATGCGACAGGTAACGCGCCTCAAACCCGATGGGAGCTGACAGAGGACCACGAGGCCTGTCAAGGAAGATAGACGCGCCTCAAACCCGATGGGAGCTGACGGAGGACCACGGGGCCTGTCAAGGAAGATCGACCGGGCCTTTTAATCCAAGGTGTAGAACATACACACACACACACACACACACATAGGTACACACACAATCACACAAGCACAAACACACACACACACACCTGCTATCCACAGTAAGAGAGAAGCATGAAGATCTGGTGGACAGAGAGAGAAGCATGAAGACCTGGTGGACAGAGAGAGAAGCATGAAGACCTGGTGGCCAGAGAGAGAAGCATGAAGACCTGGTGGCCAGAGAGAGAAGCATGAAGACCTGGTGGACAGAGAGAGAAGCATGAAGATCTGGTGGCCAGAGAGAGAAGCATGAAGACCTGGTGGACAGAGAGAGAAGCATGAAGACCTTGACAGGCCCCGTGGTCCTCCGTCAGCTCCCATCGGGAGAGAAGCATGAAGACCTGGTGGACAGAGAGAGAGAAGCATGAAGATCTGGTGGCCAGAGAGAGAAGCATGAAGACCTGGTGGACAGAGAGAGAAGCATGAAGATCTGGTGGCCAGAGAGAGAAGCATGAAGACCTGGTGGACAGAGAGAGAAGCATGAAGACCTGGTGGCCAGAGAGAGAAGCATGAAGACCTGGTGGCCAGAGAGAGAAGCATGAAGACCTGGTGGACAGAGAGAGAAGCATGAAGATCTGGTGGCCAGAGAGAGAAGCATGAAGACCTGGTGGACAGAGAGAGAAGCATGAAGACCTGGTGGACAGAGAGAGAAGCATGAAGACCTGGTGGACAGAGAGAGAAGCATGAAGACCTGGTGGACAGAGAGAGAAGCATGAAGATCTGGTGGCCAGAGAGAGAAGCATGAAGACCTGGTGGACAGAGAGAGAAGCATGAAGATCTGGTGGCCAGAGAGAGAAGCATGAAGACCTGGTGGACAGAGAGAGAAGCATGAAGACCTGGTGGCCAGAGAGAGAAGCATGAAGACCTGGTGGATAGAGAGAGAAGCATGAAGACCTGGTGGACAGAGAGAGAAGCATGAAGAAAATAGAACAAGGTGTTCTCTAAAGCGTTTAATCACAGTTGGCCCCTGTGGGACCTGTTCATCTAACTTCATGGGGGAAGGTCTCTGCAAAAAACTGGGGGACATTTTTTGTCACTGAAGTAGTAACGGGACAGAACAAGTCTGGCTGAATGACTGTTCAAAGTCTGGTTGGATCATATGAAGGTACTGTAGATAAGTCAGTTGGTAAGTAGACTTGGCTTGTATGAGCCAGAAGGGCAGGGCCTTACCCCCAACCTCTCTCCTTAATTCTGAGTGCCAAGCAAGCCCTTCCCCCAATCTAGCTCCTTAATGCTGAGTGCCAAGCAAGCCCTTCCCCCAATCTATCTCCTTAATGCTGAGTGCCAAGCAGGGCCTTACCCCCAATCTATCTCCTTAATGCTGAGTGCCAAGCAGGGCCTTACCCCCAATCTACCTCCTTAATGCTGAGTGCCAAGCAGGGCCTTACCCCCAATCTATGTCCTTAATGCTGAGTGCCAAGCAAGGCCTTACCCCCAATCTACCTCCTTAATGCTGAGTGCTAAGCAGGGCCTTACCCCCAACCTCTCTCCTTAATTCTGAGTGCCAAGCAGGGCCTTACCCCCAACCTCTCTCCTGAATGCTGAGTGCCAAGCAAGGCCTTACCCCCAATCTATCTCCTTAATGCTGAGTGCCAAGTAGGGCCTTACCCCCAACCTCTTTCCTTAATGCTGAGTGCCAAGCAGGGCCTTACCCCCAATATATCTCCTTAATGCTGAGTGGCAAGCAGGGCCTTATCCCCAATCTACCTCCTTAATGCTGAGTGCCAAGCAGGGCCTTACCCCCAATCCATCTCCTTAATGCTGAGTGCCAAGCAGGGCCTTACCCCCAATCGCTCTCCTTAATGCTGAGTGCAAAGCAGGGCCTTACCCCCAATCGCTCTCCTTAATTCTGAGTGCCAAGCAGGGCCTTACCACCAATCGCTCTCCTTAATGCTGAGTGCCAAGCAGGGCCTTACCCCCAATCGCTCTCCTTAATGCTGAGTGCCAAGCAGGGCCTTACCCCCAATCTATCTCCTTAATGCTGAGTGCCAAGCAGGGCCTTACCCCCCAATCGCTCTCCTTAATGCTGAGTGCCAAGCAGGGCCTTACCCCCAATCTATCTCCTTAATGCTGAGTGCCAAGCAAGGCCTTACCCCCAATCTATCTCCTTAATGCTGAGTGCCAAGCAGGGCCTTACCCCCAATCGCTCTCCTTAATGCTGAGTGCCAAGCAGGGCCTTACCCCCAATCTATCTCCTTAATGCTGAGTGCCAAGCAGGGCCTTACCCCCAATCTATCTCCTTAATGCTGAGTGCCAAGCAGGGCCTTACCCCCCAATCGCTCTCCTTAATGCTGAGTGCCAAGCAAGGCCTTACCCCCAATCTATCTCCTTAATGCTGAGTGCCAAGCAGGGCCTTACCCCCCAATCTATCTCCTTAATGCTGAGTGCCAAGCAGGGCCTTACCCCCAATCGCTCTCCTTAATGCTGAGTGCCAAGCAAGGCCTTACCCCCAATTTATCTCCTTAATGCTGAGTGCCAAGCAGGGCCTTACCCCCCAATCGCTCTCCTTAATGCTGAGTGCCAAGTAAAAACGCATCTGGTCCCAATTTTAGTGTATTTGGCCAAGTCTGAAACAGACAAAAGGCTCTGTTCCAATAGCCAATAGCTATACTAGAGTATAGCACTTAGTATGAAGCAACCCATTGGGCATCCATTCTAAGTAGTAGCCTATGATAGTATTGACATTGACTTAAGTACTCCAAGAAAAAAGGTATCCAGTACCGCATTACCCATGCTCCTCCACTATCTCTATGCCACCTTTATGTAAAACTCCAGGTGACTTGGACTGGCCAATGAGCTGGCCCAAAGGAGCCGAGAGAGCGACAGAGACGAGTGACACAATCCCCTGCGGCGGCAGTCATCTTTCAGCAGATTGCCCTGTGGGTAATGAGGTGGTGATTTTCCTGACGGTAATGGAAAGGTTGTCATGGCCATAACAACGCCAAGACAACACAGATAGGAAGAAAGGAAGTGATTATTCCCGAAAGGAAATCAACCGAAAAACACTTGGTCAAGCTGAAGACATCGATCGATTCTGGTTTGTGAATATATTGCGAAGATACTGTTTGTGGTTCGGCTACTTTGGTCTAGGAGCGAGACAAGGGATGAGTTACAGATGGAATTAAAATGAGCTGTCTCTGTGGTGTTACAGTGTGGATGAGAGAGGAATACACACCACGCAGGCACGTCTCTCACACTCACACTGACAGCAACACACACGCAACGTATCTGTCTGTTGTATTCGGTATGGGTGGTCCTCTGTAGCTCAATTGGTAGAGCATAATAGGGTAGTGGGTTCGATCCCCGGGACCACCCATACGTAAAAATGTATGCACACATGACTGTAAGTCTCTTTGGATAAAAGCGTCTGCTAAATGGCATATTATTATTATATTATTATTGTTTGTGTTATGTAAAAGTAGGATTACGTTTGTTTAGTATCGGGCTCAGTGACGATTAGCAGGGCAGCAGGCCCATAATTAAACACACACACACACACACACACACACACTTTGCTGATGCAGTCAAACCAGGATAATACAAAAACAGCAGGGCTGTACTTCTATAAGCAGAAACAACATCTCCCTGTTATTGCAAAGTGCAATATACTGTAACAGGGTCATTTTCCCTACTGCTTGAATATAGAAAAAACAACACTAGGTAGTCTTCTGGATGAAACCTTAGACATTTCATATTTGCAATGTCCAAAGAGTTAAATGAATAACACAATGGTGACAACATTTTTTCTGATGACATAAGCATTGAACATGCTACATCAGTGGAAATAAACTGATAGTGGTGATCTCACCATAACATTGTCTTGATCCTCCATCCATGTGCCCTGATACGACCCTGGTACCACCCTGATACGACCCTGGTCGACTAGCCAAAAACTCATATCCGCCTAGTAAGCGGGTAATCAGTGTTTCCATGAAGGAAGAGCTTTAGTTAACAGGGCTTTAGTTAAGGACAAACCCATCGAGGCAGGGCTTTAGTTAACAGGGCTTTAGTTAAGGACAAACCCAGGAGGCAGGGCTTTAGTTAACAGATCTTTAGTTAGGCCAAACCCATCGAGGCAGGGCTTTAGTTAACAGAGCTTTAGTCAGGACAAACCCATCGAGGCAGGGCTTTAGTTAACGGGGCTTTAGTTAAGGACAAACCCATCAAGGCAGGGCTTTAGTTAGGGCTGGGCGATATGGCCTACAAATATTTTTTTTTACTTATGGGCGATCCACGTGATGGTGTGGGGGTGCTTTGCTGGTGACATTGTCAGGGATTTATTTAGAATTCAAGGCACACTTAACCAGCATGGCTACCACAGCATTCTGCAGCGACACGCCATCCCATCTGGTTTGCACTTAGTGGGACTATCATTTGTTTTTCAACAGGACAATGACCCAACACACCTCCAGGCTTTGTAAGGGCTATTTGACCAAGAAGGAGAGTGATGGAGTGCTGCATCAGATGACCTGGCCTCCACAACCCCCCAACCTCAACCCAATTGAGATGGTTTGGGATGAGTTGGACGGCAGAGTGAAGGAAAAGCTGCCAACAAGTGCTAAGCATGTGTGGGAACTCCTTCAAGACTGTTGGAAAAGCATTCCAGGTGAAGCTGGTTGAGAGAATGCCAAGAGTGTGCAAAGCTGTCATCAAGGCAAAGGGTGGCTACTTTGAAGAATCTCAAATATAACATATATTTTAATTTGGTTACTACGGGATTCCATATGTGTTATTTCATAGTTTTGATGTCTTCACTATTATTCTACAATGTAGAAAATAGTAAAAAAAATTAAGAAAAACCCTTGATTGAGTAGGTGTGTCCAAACTTTTGACTGGTACTGTATATCTATTTTTTTTTTATGTTTTACATTTACATTTTAGTCATTTAGCAGACGCTCTTATCCAGAGCGACTTACAGGAGCAATTAGGGTTAAGTGCCTTGCTCAAGGGCACATCTCTCTAAATAAGCGTTGTTGTACAATTAAAGGTAGAATACACTGCATTTCAAACAGTCAGCAATAATCTAATGAATTCAGGTCTTGTGAAGTTATACCTAGGTTAAATATAAGACTTCCACAACCATAAGACCCACTAATAATTTAATTATTTCATCAAAATAGTTTAACCTGCTTTTTTGTTGTTGCAATAATCAAGTCTGTCTATGAAAATGCCCTTCTTCTTTACAAATTTAACTAGAACCATGCATAATGCACATTCACTAATGACTAACTTCTTGTAGTAGGCATTATAGAAAATTAACACAGGTCTCATCAACAATCTCTCAAGCCCACGTGCTAGCGATTAGCTAGCTAATCTTTATATTTCAAGTTTAGCCAACTTGGATCTATTTGCTAGCTAACAAGGTTGAACAGTTGAATTGTTATGAACATACCCTTCTGTCTGTCCCCAACTGTTTGAAAAGCATGTTAGCCTGTCCACTTTGTTCAGATGTTGAAATCAAGTGGCCTACATTATTTCTCAGAATGAGAACGAGTTGCCAATTCTGTATATAATTGTGTTTTATGCTTATTGCACATTTATAAAACACAGACTAGAATGTTAGTATAACAGTATTTGGCTAAAATGCTGCTAGCGGTACGTGGTAACCCAGTGCCACGCGCGACAAACTGAGCATACATTTTCCACAATCAATGTTCATTGATACTCTTATTTTAGTAGTGTCTGCTCTGCGCGCAATTTGAGTAGTTGAGACATAAAAAGGGTATTGTTAGAAAAGTTAACTTCTCTATTACAGTAAAATAATGTCTCGATGTGTTTCGGTATCCATATGACCGATTCTGTTGGACCAAACCTCAAATGCAAATAGCGAGCTGAAACCGCTTATCAGAGAGGAAGATGTGATCTGTCAACTTTGTTGGCGTGAGAGGCAGGGGGAGGGGCTTGGTGTGTGTAAACCATAGAGGAAGAGGTGAGGCGAGAGGTTTCACACTCGCTAAAATCTGCCCAAAATAAGCCCAATGCGTTTCTATGGGCTTATTTTGGACATAAGCTTGTCGCCTGCCTTCCCGCCTTTGGGACAACAATTCCCATTGTTAGGGCGGAGGTGTGCATTTCTTCATTATATACAGATCTCTGGTGTAAATGGGGAGGTGCACACAGCACAGAAGGAGTAAAAAGACAAGACCAAAAATACAACACGAGAACAAGCGGACAAAAACACTCATAAAAACGAAAAATAACTAAACCTTGATTCTTGCGATACAGGCATTTGGAATATCGCACAAAAACATACATTTAATCGAATGAATTAGATATATCGCCCAGCCCTATCTTTAGTTATAATATATAATAATATGCCATTTAGCAGACGCTTTTATCCAAAGCGACTTACAGTCATGCGTGCATACATTATTTTAATTTTTTTGTGTATGGGTGGTCCCGGGGATCGAACCCACTACCTTGGCGTTACAAGCGCCGTGCTCTACCAGCTGAGCTACAGAGGACCACATATATATAGTTAAGGACAAACCCATCAAGGAAGGCTTTAGATATGGCACTTCCAACGACAGGGCTGTGGGTTCGATTCCCATGGGGGACCAGCACGAAAAACTAAAAACATGTATGCATTCACTACTGTAAGTCACTCTGGATAAGAGCATCTGGTAAATGACAAAAATGTCAATGTAAAAATATAGTTAACAGGTCTTTAGTTAAGGATATACCCATCAAGGCAGGGCTTTGGTTAACAGGGCTTTAGTTACGGACAAACCCATCAAGGCAGGGCTTTAGTTAACAGGGCTTTAGTTAACAGGATATATCACTAACCTCACCCACCATACAACAGTGAACAAACTGCAACCTTGAACAATATATTAATTGACAATATCAGCCATCTACTGTTTGACAATATCAGCCATCTACTGTTTGACAATATCAGCCATCTACTGTTTGACAATATCAGCCATCTACTGTTTGACAATATCAGCCATCTACTGTTTGACAATATCAGCCATCTACTGTTTGACAATATCAGCCATCTACTGTTTGACAATATCAGCCATCTACTGTTTGACAATATCAGCCATCTACTGTTTGACAATATCAGCCATCTACTGTTTGCCTTTGTGCCTTGTGCCTTGTCGCTATTCTCATATTAGCCTTGGATCAAACTTGTGTCCAACTGTTGGAAGTTGGTGGCAGTTGGTAGGAATTTAAGCCTTAGCTTAGCCTTCAGCGCTACTAATCAGCAAAACAACTCACATTTACCTCCCTCATAGCGGCTTATGCTAATGCTGATAAAACTAAAACACACCTTAGATAGCCTAACCGCAATAAGCCTTAGCATTCACTGCAACAACAACAAAAACAGCCAAACAACTAAACAACTCATGACAATATGACAGTGTGTCTACATAACTGCGACTGAGGCTGCCTGACAGTGGTTGTGTTATTGCTGTGGGATCGATATGGGAGTTGGAACGGTATCGACGGACGAGATGTAATGCTCCGTTTCTCAGAGATTGAAATCAGGTTATAGCGTGGGGAGCGTTAATCCTATTACCAATCTGTCATTTAGGTATTTCACATCATCATCATCCTCCCCAAACTTCCTATGGTTTACGTAACCCTGTGGGACTATCATTTGTTTTTCAACAGGACAATGACCCAACACACCTCCAGGCTGTGTAAGGGCTATTTTACCAAGAAGGAGAGTAATGGAGTGCTGCATCAGATGACCTGGCCTCCACAATCCCCCAAACCTCAACCAAATTGAGATGGTTTGGGATGAGTCGGACCGCAGAGTGAAGGAAAAGCAGCCAACAAGTGCTCAGCATATGTGGGAACTCCTTCAAGACCGTTGGAAAAGCATTCCAGGTGAAGCTGGTTGAGAGAATGCCAAGCGTGTGCAAAGCTGTCATCAAGGCAAAGGCTGGATATTTGAAGAATCTCAAATATAAAATATATTTTGATTTGTTTAACAGTTTTTTGGTTACTACATGATTCCATATGTGTTATTTCATAGTTTTGATGTCTTCACTATTATTCTACAATGTAGAAAATAGTCAAAATAAAGAAAAACCCTTGAATGAGTAGGTGTTCTAAAACTTTTGACCGGTAGTGTACATTCATTACAGAATTCACAACACACTAAGTGTGTGCCCTCAGGCCCATACTCCACTACCAAATATCTACAACACAAAATCCATGTGTACGTGTGTGTATAGTGCGTATGTTATCATGTGTGTGTATGCATGTGTCTGTGCCTATGTTTGTGTTGCTTCACAGTCCCCGCTGTTCCATAAGGTGTATTTTTATCTGTTTTTTAAATCTGATTCTACTGCTTGCATCAGTTACCTGATGTGGAATAGAGTTCCATGTAGTCATGGCTCTATGTGGCTCTGTGCGCTTCCCATAGTCTGTTCTGGACTTGGGGACTGTGAAGAGACCTCTGGTGGCATGTCTTGTGGGGTATGCATGGGTGTCTGAGCTGTGTGCTAGTCGTTTAAACAGACAGCTCGGTGCATTCAACATGTCAATACCTCTCACAAATACAAGTAGTGATGAAGTCAATCTCTCCTCTACTTTCAGCTAGGAGAGATTGACATGCAAAATGTAAAATATTATTAATGTTTTCTCTCTGTGTACATCCAAGGGCCAGCCGTGTTGCCCTGTTCTGAGCCAATTGCAATTTTCCTAAGTCTCTCTTTCTGGCACCTGACCACACGACTGAACAGTAGTCCAGGTGCGACAAAACTAGAGCCTGTAGGACCTGCCTTGTTGATAGTGCTGTTAAGAAGGTAGAGCAGCGCTTTATTATGGACAGACTTCTCCCCATCTTAGCTACTGTTGTATCAATATGTTTTGACAACGACAGTTTACAATACAGGGTTACTCCAAGCAGTTTAGTCACCTCAATTTGCTCAATTTCAACATTATTTATTACAAGATTTAGTTGAGGTTTAGGGTTTAGTAAATTATTTTTCCAAATACAATGCTTTTATTTTTTGAAATATTTAGGACTAACGTATTCCTTGCCACCCATTCTGAAACTAACTGCAGCTCTTTGTTAAGTGTTGCAGTCAGTTCAGTTGCTATAGTAGCTGGTGTGTATAGTGTTGTGTCATCTGCATACATAGACAAACTGGCTTTACTCAAAACCAGTGGCATGTCGTTAGTAAAGATTGAAAAAAGTAAGGGGCCTAGACAGCTGCCCTGGGGAATTCCTGATTCTACCTGGATTATGTTGGAGAGGCTTCCATTAAAGAACACCCTCTGTGTTCTGTTAGACAGGTAACTCTTTATCCACAATAGAGCAGGGGGTGTAAAGCCATAACACATATGTTTTTCCAGCAGCAGACTATGATCGATAATGTCAAAAGCAGCACTGAAGTCTAACAAAACAGCCCCCACAATCTTTTTAACATCAATTTCTCTCAGCCACTCATCAGTCATTTGTGTATGTGCTGTGCTTGTTGAATATCCTTCCCTATAAGCATGCTGAAAGTCTGTTGTCAATTTGTTTACTGTAAAATAACATTGTATCTGATCAAACACTATTTTTCCAAAACTTTACCAAGGGTTGGTAACAGGCAGATTGGTCGGCTATTTGAGCCAGTAAAGGGGGCTTTACTATTCTTAGGTGGCGGAATGACTTTTGCTTCCCTCCAGGCCTGAGGGCACACACTTTCTAGTAGGCTTAAATTGAAGATATGGCAAATAGAAGTGGCAATATCGTCCGCTATTATCCTCAGTAATTTTCCATCCAAGTTGTCAGACCCCGGTGGGCTTGTCATTGTTGATAGACAACAATACTTTTTTCACCTCTTCCACACTCACTTTACAGAATTCAAAATTACAATTCTTGTCTTTCATAATTTGGTCAGATATACTTGGATGTGTAGTGTCAGCGTTTGTTGCTAGCATGTCATGCCTACGTTTGCTAATCTTGCCAATGAAAAAATAATTAAAATATTTGGCAATATCAGTCGGTTTTGTAATGAATGAGCCATCTGATTCAATGAATGATGGAGCTGAGTTTGCTTTTTTTCCCAAAATGTCATTGAATGTGCTCCAAAGCATTTTACTATCATTCTTTATGTCATTTATCTTTGTTTCATAGTGTAGTTTCTTCTTCTTTTTATTCAGTTTAGTCACATGATTTCTCAATTTGCAGTACGTTTGCCAATCGGTTGTGCAGCCAGACTTATTTGCCATTCCTTTTGCCTCATCCCTCTCAACCATACAATTTTTCAATACCTCATCAATCCACGGGGATTGAACAGTTTTACAGTAATTTTCTTAATGGGTGCATGCTTATTAGTAACTGGGATAAGCAATTTCATAAATGTGTCAAGTGCAGCATTTGTTTGCTCTTAATTACACACCACGGACCAACAAATATTCTTTACATCAACAACATAGGAATCACTACAAAACGTATTGTATGACCTCTTATACACTATATTAGGCCCAACCTTTGGAACTTTGGTTTTCCTAGATATGGCTACTATATTGTGGTCACTACATCCGATGGATCTGGATACTGCTTTCAAACACATTTCTGCAGCATTAGTAAAGATGTGAGCAATACATGTTGATGATTTCATTCCTGTGCTGTTTGTAACTACCCTGGTAGGTTGACTGATAACCTGAAGCAGGTTGCAGGCACTGGTTACAGTTTGAAGCTTTTTCTTGAGTGGGCAACTTGATGAAAGCCAGTCAATATTTAAATCACCCAGAAAATATACCTCTCTGTTGATATCACATCCATTATCAAGCATTTCACACGTTATACAGATACTGTCCGTTAGCACTTGGTGGTTTATAGCAGCTTCCCACAAGAATGGGCTTTATGTGAGGCAGATGAACCTGTAGCTATATTACTTCAACAGTATTTAACATGAGATCCTCTCTAATCTTTACAGGAATGTGGTTCTGAATATAAACAGCAACACCTCCACCACTGGCATTTCTGTCTTTTAAGTAAATGTTATAACCTTGTATTGCTACCACTGTATTATCAAAGGTATTGTCTAAGTGAGTTACAGAGATAGTCAGAATATGAATGTCATCTGTTACTAGCAAGTTATTAATTTCATGAACCTTGTTTCTTAAGCTACATATGCTAACGTGGGGTATTTTGAGCACTTTTCTGGAATGCTTGCTTGTTTTCATTGCTTTACTGGGAAGCTTAGCAGAAGTACTGCAGGGTGAGCTGCACACAGTGGACTTCCTACTAGGGCACACCGCCTCAGTGCTAACAGCATAAATCTGGTTCATAGACACATGATTGCTGCATACAATAGCTGTAGGATCAGCAGAGGCATTCAGGGCAGTTAGAGGGACATAAATTAGGTTTCTTACATTGTGTCTACCAATGCCCCTGGTATAATGTACATAAAGCTAAAGTATTATGATGACTCAGCGACACAATGGTAGGGATTAGCTGAGCTGGGCTTGGGTCATTGATAAGTCATTGTCTCATCGCAGCCTTATAATTCTGTGAAAGGATCCAGGAACCCAAATGATTTGGATGGATCCCATCCTCCTTATAAAACGTGTTTTGTTTCCAAAAGGTATCGAAATTGTCAACAAAAGTTACATCCATTGAGCTGCAATAATCACGTAGCCAGTTGTGAAGAGAAATAATCCTGCTAAAGCATTCAATGCCACCATTCAGAGAGGGCGTAGGGCCAGATATGATGGGTATTTGATTAGTGTCTAGCAGAGAGTTAATCAGCTCTTTGAAATCCAGTTAAAAACTGTTCAGAGCTGCCCTTCATAATGTCATTAAAACCCACATGGACTACGATAGAATCAATGTTCTGGCGTAGTACATACGGGAGCAGCTTAGTAATGTCATTTACTCGAGCTCCGGGATAGGACATGGTTTTTTCACCAGGAACAGTCACGTCTTACCATGGAGCTGCCCAAAATCACGGCTGGCGAGAAGGACGAGGAATTCCGCCCATTCCCACGCTTCACAGGATGGTGCAGAAAAGGTACAACTTTCCACTCTGCGTTTTCCCCAGTTTCTTACATAGGCTGGCTACCTGCGTGATCAAGGAAGCCACCTCAAGCCTATAATCCTCCGCAAGCAAACAATTGCCGCATTGGAACTCTGAGTGATCCAGTTTGTCCCGAAACAAAGCGTAGTAGATACAGCTCCTACAGCGCTGGAACCGTTCATTTACCTCTCCAGACAAAGAGGGCTCCATTGGAAAACTCATCTGGGACTAACTTCGTCAGCTTGATGGCTAATGTTAGCAGCAGACTTTAACCTGTCAGTTAAGCAGGATTCCGGGACAAGAAATAGTGGTTCTAGCTGTTAAAAGCTAACCGCGTTGCGGAATCCATGCAAAAACAGGTTTGGTATTTATGTTTAACAAAGATTTGTTATGTTTTAGTTAAAATAACAAACAGTGTTTCCAGTCTGCTGAAATGAAGAAAGGTATTTCTATCTGTTTCTCTTCTATACACCTCAGTGTGCAAGCCATTGCCATCTTTCTTAAAACAAAAAATCCAAAAAGGAAGCATGTTCTTTATCGGATACTAACGTACATTTAATGGACGGCATCCTGGAATTCATGTATGTAAATAATTCCTGCAATTCAAGATCATCACCTGACCAAATAAAAAAAATGTCATCAATATATCTCAAAACACTTGATAACATTTGAATAGGGATTATCATATACAAAGTCCAACTCAAATTTCCCCATAAATACATTTGCATAATTGTGCGCAACTGGCGATCCCATAGCAGTTCCTTGAACCTGAAGATAATAACAGACTTCAAACTTTAAATAATTCTTAGTCAATATTTCACTAGTCAAGCTCAACAGTAGTCATTGGGGGGATCCAGTTCTGTTCTTTGATTCAAATAATGTTTTATTGCATCTAAACCCTCTTGATGAGGAATATTCGTATAAGGTCTAGAGTGAGGCCTAAGAGGGTTTTATAAATAAGCCTCAACCAGTGGGTCTTCCGTCGGGTATACAGAGATGGCCAGTTTACAGAGGAGTAAAGAGTGCAGTGATGTGTCCTATAAGGAACATTGGTGGAAAATCTGATGACCGAATGGTAAAGAACATCTAGCCACTCGAGAGCACCCTTACCTGCCGATCTATAAATTACGTCTCCGTAATCTAGCATGGGTAGGATGGTCATCTGAATCAGGGTTAGTTTGGCAGCTGGGGTGAAAGAGGAGCGATTACGATAGTGGAAACAAAGTCTAGATTTAACCTTAGCCTGCAGCTTGGATATGTACTAAGAGAAGGACAGTGTACCGTCTAGCCATACTCCCAAGTACTTGTATGAGGTGACTACCTCAAGCTCTAAACCCAGAGAGGTAGTAATCACACCGGTGGGGAGAGGGGCATTCTTCTTACCGAACCACATTACTTTGTTTTGTTTTGGAGGTGTTCAGAACAAGGTAAAGGGCAGAGAAAGCTTGTTGGATACTAAGAAAGCTTTGTTGTAGAGCGTTTAACCCCAAAATCCAGGGAGGGTCCAGCTCAGTATAAGACTGTATCATCTGCATATAAATGGATGGGAGAGCTTCCTATGTTGTTGATGTAAATTGAGAAGAGCGTGGGAACTAGGATCGAGTCTTGGGGTACTCCCTTGGTGACAGGCAGTGGCTGAGACAGCAGATGTTCTGATTTTATACACTGCACTCTTTGAGAAATAGTAGTTAGCAAACCAGACCAAAGACCCCTCAGAGACACCAATACTCCTTAGCCGACCCACAAGAATGGAATGGTCTAGTATCAAAAGCTTTGGCCAAGTAAATAAAAATAGCAGCACAACATTGCTTAGAATCAAGGGCATTGGTGACATCATTTAGGACCTTTAAAGGTTGCAGTGACACATTTACATTTTAGTCATTTAGCAGACGCTCTTATCCAGAGCGACTTACAGTTAGTGAGTGCATACATTTTCATACATCCATAACCTGAGCGAAAACGAGATTGCATACCAAAGAGAATACTATAGACATCAAGAAAGCCAGTCAGTTGATTATTGACAAGTTTTTGAATCCCCCCCCTGAGGTTTTGCTATAAGAGACCCTCAATTTTACAGGTTTGTTTAGAAAAGGTCAGATTCGCCTAAGAAACAAGCATCACATTATATGTCTATCATTCCTGATGGCAGTTTGCCTTGTCACAACTGTGTCCACTGTGATGCCATGATCAGAGGGAACTCTCTTATCCGTCCCCATTGGGGTGAGAGGATAAAGGTTTGAGGTAGAATAACATGCAACACGAAATATGTTGTATATCTCCTTCAGTGTTCCTGTAACTTGTATTATGTGGGTAAGACCAAACGTGAACTTAAGACAAGGATATGTGAGCATAAAAGCTCCATTCGCAAACCAATGATGAAAAATCATCGGTTGCCAGGTATTTCAATAGCCATAATCATGGAACTAAGTGCCTTACGTTATATGGGCATTGAATTGGTGAAGGCGCCACGTAGGGGAGTAGATAGGGATAAATGACTTCTCCAAAGAGACATATTGGATAGACTGCTTGGTCACTCTTGCCCCAGCAGGCCTTAAAAATGTTATTTCTTGTTTTTTGTAGTAGGTTATAAATAGGCCAAACATTTTGGTAATGACATCATCATGTATTTGTATTGTGTGTCTACCTTTATTTGATTTTCATGTTTTCCCCACAGCTCCCTCTGCCGGGATCTCTTGATTGGGCCAATACTGACTGTGAATGTATAATTATGCCCACCTTTGTGGTCTTTTTGTTGTGACATTGATTGCCATTGCCTTGCACGCTGACAAAGGGCTCATACCCGAAACGTTCGTGTGGCAACACAAATATGTCAATGTAAGTACATACAGTACACACAACAAGTAGGTCACATGGAGGAGAGGCGTTGCACCGTGAGGTGTTGCTTTATTTGTTTTTTGAAACCAGGTTTGCTGTTCACTTGCGCTATATAAGATGGAAGGGAGTTCCAAGCAGTCATGGCTCTGTATAATACTGTACGTTTCCTTGAATTTGTTCTGGACCTGGGGACTGTGAAAAGGTATTTATTTGTAGCACTTGACCATATGGCTGGACAATAATCATGATAAGATAAAAAAAAATAGAGCCTGCAGGACTTGCTTTGTGGAGTGTGGTGTCAAAAAAGCAGAGCATCTTTTTATTACGGACAGACCTCTTCCCATCTCTACAACCATGACAATTTACAATCTAAGGTAATACCAAGTAACTTAGTCTCCTCAACTTGTTCAACAGCCACACCATTCATTACCAGATTCAGCTGAGGTCTAGAACTTAGGGAATGATTTGTAACAAATACAATGCTCTTAGTTTTAGAGATGTTCAGGACCAGTTTACTACTGGCCACCCATTCCAAAACAGACTGCAACTCTTTGTTAAGGGTTTCAGTGACTTCATTAGCTGTGGTTGCTGATGCGTATATGGTTGAATTATCAGCATACATGGACCCACATTCTTTGTTTAATGCCAGTGGCAGGTCATTGGTAAAAATAGAAAAGTGTAGAGGGCCTAGAGAGCTGCCCTGCGGTACACCACACTTTACATGTTTGACATTAAGGGAAGCTTCCATTTAAAAAAAACTCAGTTCTATTAGATAGATAGCTCTGAATCCACGATATGGCAGAGGTTGAAAAGACATAACACATACTTTTTCTCAACAACAGGTTATGGTCAATAATATCAAAGGCTGCACTGAATTCTAACAGTACAGCTCCCACAACCTTCTAATTATCAATTTCTTTAAACAAATCATCAGTCATTTGTGTCAGTACAGTATATGTTGAGTGCCCTTCCCTATAAGCATGCTGAAAGTCTGTTGTAAATTTGTTTACCGAGAAATAGCATTGTATTTGGTCAAACACAATTTTTTCCAACAGTTTACTAAGAGCTGGCAGCAAGCTGAGGTCTGCTGTTAGAGCCAGTAAAGGCCACTTTACCACTCTTGGGTAGCGGAATGACTTCCCTCCAGGCCTGAGGACAAAGACTTTCCTCTAGGCTCAGATTAAAGATATGACAGATAGGAGTGGCTATATAGTCATCTACCATCCTCAGTAGCTTTCCATCTACTGTAAGTTGTCAATGCCAGGAGGTTTGTCATTACTGATCGATAAAACACATTTTTCCACCTCTCCCACACTAACTTTACAAAATTCTAACTTACAATGATTTTATTTAATTTCGTTTTTTTATGCATGAGTACAATGGCTCACTGTTCATTGTTGGCATTTCCTGCTTAAGTTTGCCCACTTTGCCAATGAAGTAATCATTAAAATAATTGGCAACATCAAATGGTGATGACTAAACCGAAAGATGGAGTTGAATGTCTTTCTGCCAATAATTTCATTTAAAGTACTCCAAAGTGTTTTTCCATTATTCTTTATATCAATGATCTTGGCTTCATAATACAGTTTCTTCTTTTTTGTTGTTGAATTTAGTCACATAATTTCTCAATTTGCAGTAAGTCACCCCATCTCTTTCAACCATACAGTTTTTCAATTCCTCATCAATCCATGGATCCTTAACAGTTTCAACAGTCAGTTTCTTAACAGGTGCATGTTTATCAATAATTGGAAGAAGCAATTTCATAAATTCATCAAGTCATTCCACTGGGCACACACTGCTTGAATCAACATTGTTTTCATGTAATTTCAATGAAATTACGTTGAACCAACGTGGAATAGATGTTGAATTGACGTCCACATCAGTGAATAAAAAGCTTCGTCCCACATTCCATTTGCTTAGCTGAAAGTTTTTTCCTTTAGCCTTCGCCTTATCGTCTCACAACCCTGTCATCCTGGCTCTCGTAACCCGACACACCGGCAACGATAGAAGCCAGAGTTGGAGACAGACCTTTGTTTTTTGTGCTAATTTTTCTACGTCACTCCAACGGACATAGTTCTAACCTTTTACGTGACACCCGAGACCCAGAGCCTCTAAGGTTTCGGGGGAATGTGAGCCGACCGTGGCCCAGCTCGACATGTCCCCAGAGTGGGAGAAGTGAAAACCTGAGCCCCCTGCTCCCTGGCTAGGCTATCAGAGCTCCACACAGATGCACCAGGGGCCTAGGCCCGGTCCGCCTGCCAGGGCCAGATCTGGTTTCCCACCTGGACAGAACATAATACCTCCGTCCGCTTCGTCCACCACTCCTCTCCTTTACCTGTCCAGCTGACACATGCTGTTTGTCTCATCTCTACTACAGCCACGTAAACATCTACACAGCTGTATTGGAATGGTTATATCATCGAGCAAGTGCTGCCCTTTGTGAGGGCTTGCTGAGTGCAACCTTGCTTAGAGGGTATTTGCTGATTGTTTGAAATATGTATTGACTTTTATCACTGCAGGTTTTTTAATATGATATGATGACCTTGCAAGCCAAACAGCAACCCAAATGTACCATATTTTCAATAAAATATGATTTCATAATTTCAAACATGACGTTTTGACACATTTAATTTTAGATTATGTACTGTACTAGGGCTGGGCGGTATACCGTATTTTACTATACACCGGTATGGATGCACTGGCCGGTTTGGGTTTTTACTTTACCTTCTATAACGGTATTTCAATGTATGGTTTGTTACATGTGATACACTACTCGGCGTGTGTAATGTCCGTTTTTATAGTTGACTCCGTTTGCTATATGAGACGTCTTCTCCTTCCTCCTGCTTCAGGCCGCTTCCCACACCAAGCCCCGCCCCCCTGTTACTCAAGGAGAGAGCAGTTACTCGACCACGGAGTCACGAACACTTTCTTGCTGTTCCCACTGCTGCACTCTGCAAGGTCGGCTAGATGCAGTACGATGTTGGTGACATGCTGCTTTCCACAAGCGTTCTATAATTACATTAAACTTATAGTTTGTGTGTGTGTGTGTGTGTATCTCACTGTCTGCAAACTACTGTCTCCTAGTTTGTCTTTTCTTAGCAAGTTGTGGCTAAAATAAATCTTGTTAGCCGCTAATGCTAATCGCTAGTCAGACAGATAGGAAGAGGTGAAGCGAGAGGTTGGACCCAAGCTTGTCGCCTGCCTTCCCGCCTTTGGGACAACGACTCCTATTGTTAGGGCGGAGAAATTAGCATCTCCTCATTATATACAGATCTCTGGCAGTGGAGGCTCCTCAGAGGAGGAAGGGGAGGACCATCCTCCTCAGTGAATTTCATAAAAATAGTGAAACATTAAAGAAGTTATAATTTCAGTAAAACTATACTAAATATAGTCACCAAATAATTGATTAAAACACAGTGTTTTGCAATGAAGGTCTACAGTAGCCTCAACAGCACTCTCTTGGGTAGAACCATGGTGTAGTCGGAGGACAGCTAATTATTTTCTATCTTTCTCTGGGTACATTGACTTCAATGCAAAACTTAGGAGGCTCATGGTTCTCACCCCCTTCCATAGACTTACACAGTAATTATGACGACTTCTGGAAGACGTCCTCCAACCTCTCAGAGCTCTTGCAGCATGAACTGACATGTTGTCCATCCAATCAAAGGATCAGATAATAAATATAGTGCTGAGAGCATAAAGTACAGCTAGCTAGCACTGCAGTACATAACGTGTGTTGAGTAGTTGACTCAAAGAGAGAACAAGACAATAGTTGAACAGTTTTGAACAAATTAATGTCTTCAAAAATTAAGGAGAAGCAGCAGAGAGACAGCTAGCTATCAATGTCAATATCAAATTTTTTCTTCTTCTTAGTTTACCTTTCACTTACTTAGCTAATGCAGCTAATTTAGCCTACTCAACAAACTGACTCAAACAGAGAGGGGTGCTAGCTATTTATGTTAGCTAGCTATCCACACTGCAACTATTCACAGTCAAGGTAAGCTTTCGGTTGTATTAATTTATAGTGAGATTTGGTGTGGCGGCCCTCTATTGGCAGATTTGTTGCTGTGCCATATTCTTTCAATTTTTTTTATAATGGATTTAATGGTGCTCAGTGGGATGTTCAAAGTTTCGGATATTTTTTTATAACTCAACCCTGATCTGTACTTCTCCACAACTTTGTCCCTGACCTGTTTGGAGAGCTCCTTGGTCTTCATGGTGCCGCTTGCTTGGTGGTGCCGCTTGCTTAGTGGTGTTGCAGACTGGGGCCTTTCAGAACAGGTGTGTGTATATATACTGAGATCATGTGACAGATCATGTGACACTTAGATTGCGCACAGGTGGACTTTATTTAACTAATTATGTGACTTCTGAAGGTAATTGGTTGCACCAGATCTTATTTAGGGGCTTCATAGCAAAGGGGGTGAATACATATGCACGCACCACTTTTCAGTAATTTTTTTTATTTTATTTTTTTAAACAGTTATTTTTTTAATTTCACTTCACCAACTTGGACTATTGAATGTATGTCCATTACATGAAATCCAAATGAAAATCAATTTAAATTACAGGTTGTAATGCAACAAAATAGGAAAACGCCAAGGGGGCTGAATATTTTTGCAAGGCACTGTAGATATGTGGTAGTAGGGTAGGGGCCTGAGGGCACACATATTGTAATGTTTTTAAAATGTCTAACTGCCTTAACTTTGCTGGACCCCAGGAAGAGTAGCTGCTGCCTTGGCAGCAGCTAATGGGGATCCATAATAAATACAAATAAAAATACCCCCGCACATTGACTCGGTACCGGTACCCCTGTATATACAGTTGAAGTCGGAAGTTCACATACACCTTAGCCAAATACATTTAAACTCAGTTTTTCACATTTCCTGACAGTTAATCCTAGTAAAAATTCCGTCTTAGGTCAGTTAGGATCACCACTTTATTTTAAGAATGTGAAATGTCAGAATAATAGTACGGAGAATGATTTATTTCAGCTTTTATTTCTTTCATCACATTCCCAGTGGGTCAGAAGTTTACATAAACTCAATTAGTATTTGGTAGCATTGCCTTTAAAATGTTTAACTTGGGTCAAACGTTTCGGATAGCCTTCCACAAGCTTCCCACAATAATTGGGTGAATTTTGGCCCATTCCTCCTGACAGAGCTGGTGTAGCTGAGTCAGGTTTGTAGGCCTCCTTGCTCGCACACACTTTTTCAGTTCTGCCCACACATTTTCTATAGGATTGAGGTCAGGGCTTTGTGATGGCCACTCTAATACCTTGACTTTGTTGTCCTTAAGCCATTTTGCCACAACTTTGGAAGTATGCTTGGGGTCATTGTCCATTTGGAAGACCCATTTGCGACCAAGCTTTAACTTCCTGACTGATGTCTTGAGATGTTGCTTCAATATATCCACATAATTTTCCTTCCTCATGATGCCATCTATTTTGTGAAGTGCACCAGTCCCTCCTGCAGCAAAGCAACCCCACATCATGATGCTGCCACCCCTGTGCTTCACGGTTGGGATGGTGTTCTTCGGCTTGCAAGGGTCTGCCTTTTTCCTCCAAACATAACGATGGTCATTATGGCCAAACTGTTTTATTTTTGTTTCATCAGACCAGAGGACATTTCTCTCTTTGTCCCCATGTGCAGTTGCAAACCGTAGTCTGGCTTTTTTATGGCGGTTTTGGATCAGTGGCTTCTTACTTGCTGAGCGGCCTTTCAGGTTATGTCGATATAGGACTCGTTTTACTGTGGATATAGATACTTTTGAACCTGTTTCCTCCAGCATCTTCACAAGGTCCTTTGCTGTTGTTCTGGGATTGATTTGCACTTTTCGCACCAAAGTACGTTCATCTCTAGGAGACAGAACGTGTCTCCTTCCTGAGCGGTATGACGGCTGCGTGGTCGCATGGTGTTTATACTTGCGTACTATTGTTTGTACAGATGAACGTGGTACCTTCAGGCGTTTGGAAATTGCTCCCAAGGATGAACCAGACTTGTGAATTTTCCAAGCTGTTTAAAGGCACATTCAACTTTGTGTATGTAAACTTCTGACCCACTGGAATTGTGATACAGTGAATTATAAGTGAAATAATCTGTCTGTAAACAATTGTTGGAAAAATTACTTGTGTAATGCACAAAGTAGATGTCCTAACCGACTTGCCAAAACTATAGTTTGTTAACAAGAAATTTGTGGAGTGGTTGAAAAACGAGTTTTAATAACTCCAACCTAAGTGTATGTAAACTTCCGACTTCAACTGTAGCCTCGTTATTGTTATGTAATTTTATTGTGTTACATTTTAGTTTATTTTTTACTTTAGTTTATTTAGTAAATATTTTCTTAACTCTATTTCTTGAACTGCATTGTTGGTTAAGGGCTTGTAAGTAAGCATTTCACGGTAAGGTCTACACCTGTTGTATTCGGCGCATGTGATAAATACAATTTTATTTGATTGATTTTATTTGATTAATCTTAAATGGCACCGACCACCACTGCTGCCCACTATATTCCAACTATAGAATTTAAATAATAATTATATTTCCATGATTCCAACAGTTCACCAATTAACTAGGCCTAGATTCTTTGGCCCATATCATGCAGCCCTGGATGGCAACAGTGTGGAAATTATAACAACAGTGCAGGAAATGCAGACATTTTAGAAAATGCAGAAAATTATTTTTGTTTATAGTTGGATTGAACAGTATAAAACAACCAGAATGGAGAAAGCCCCATTGAAATCACTTATAATGTATGTGTTGCCACCCTAGGGTATGACCTACTCATAAAGCATATTTATAACTTTTATTATTCAAAAACATAAAATACCATCCAAAATTTGAAAAAGATCAAATGATATTTTGGCCATATCACCCTCTACTGTACCATGAGTACACGCTTGATAAATAGGCAAGAGACCAAAACAAAGATCTCAGCAAAAACATCGACCATACAGAAGTTGAAGTGAGCCGGCCAGGCATCAAAACAGGTGTGGCTCCTCAAAGCTCTACGCTGAGTTTCCAGGGCGACAGTCAGAGGTACAAGTGACACAGACAGCTGCCATTGTTATGATGGTAGGCTTGGGAACAGACCGGCAGGCCACAACTGCTGATGGAAAGAAAGTAGGGTTCTACAGGCCTGGGATTTAGTTTGGATGGATGGAGGTTTGCTGACAGAACACTGACAGAGACGGAATTGACAACAGGTACCTTTTTCCATCCTGCTGAGTCACTACTGTGTGTGTGTGTGTGTGTGTGTGTGTGTGTGTGTGTGTGTGTGTGTGTGTGTGTGTGTGTGTGTGTGTGAGTGAGTGAGTGAGTGAGTGAGTGAGTGAGAGTCTCTCTCTCTGTCTGTGTGTGTGTGTGTGTGTGTGTGTGTGTGTGTGTGTGTGTGTGTGTGTGTGTGTCTGTGTGTAGCTCACTGAATACGTTGTTTCTCTCCTATCTGTAGTTTCCCAATAATGGGTTTCAATGTTTTAGTTAGAGGTCATATGTTAAACAGCCTACACGTTTTGTTGCCCTCTATTGCTTAAACGCGTCCAGCTTACAGTCCATCAGTGAACTTAACACACTTAACGTATTTATCGACTTACTACCACCTGGTAATTACACTAAGGGTAAGTTATATGTTAGTAGTAAGGCTTATTGAAAAGATTGTATTGGTGTGTGTGTGATATTCATTTGCATGTGTGTATTTTTTCTCTGTGGGGTGTGTGTGTGTACTGTGTATGTTCATGCGCACGTGTGTTTGCATGTACAGTGGGGAGAACAAGTATTTGATACACTGCCGATTTTGCAGGTTTTCCTACTTACAAAGCATGTAGAGGTCTGTAATTTGTATCATAGGTACACTTCAACTGTGAGAGACGGAATCTAAAACAAAAATCCAGAAAATCACATTGTATGATTTTTAAGTAAATCATTTGCATTTTATTGCATGACATAAGTATTTGATACATCAGAAAAGCAGAACGTAATATTTGGTACAGAAACCTTTGTTTGCAATTACAGAGATCATACGTTTCCTGTAGGTCTTGACCAGGTTTGCACACACTGCAGCAGGGATTTTGGCCCACTCCTCCATACAGACCTTCTCCAGATCCTTCAGGTTTCGTGGCTGTCGCTGGACTTTCAGCTCCCTCCAAAGATTTTCTATTGGGTTCAGGTCTGGAGACTGGCTAGGCCACTCCAGGACCTTGAGATGCTTCTTACGGAGCCAATCCTTAGTTGCCCTGGTTGTGTGTTTTGGGTCGTTGTCATGCTGGAAGACCTAGCCACGACCCATCTTCAATGCTCTTACTGAGGGAAGGAGGTTGTTGGCCAAGATCTCGCGATACATGGCCCCATCCATCCTCCCCTCAATACGGTGCAGTCATCCTGTCCCCTTTGCAGAAAAGCATCCCCAAAGAATGATGTTTCCACCTCCATGCTTCACGGTTGGGATGGTGTTCTTGGGGTTGTACTCATCCTTCTTCTTCCTCCAAACACGGCGAGTGGAGTTTAGACCAAAAAGCTATATTTTTGTCTCATCAGACCACATGACCTTCTCCCATTTCTCCTCTGGATCATCCAGATGGTCATTGGCAAACTTCAGACGGGCCTGGACATGCGCTGGCTTGAGCAGGGGGACCTTGCGTGCGCTGCAGGATTTTAATCCATGACGGCGTAGTGTGTTACTAATGGTTTTCTTTGAGACTGTGGTCCCAGCTCTTTTCAGGTCATTGACCAGGTCCTGCCGTGTAGTTCTGGGCTGATCCCTCACCTTCCTCATGATCATTGATGCCCCACGAGGTGAGATCTTGCATGGAGCCCCAGACCGAGGGAAATTGACCGTCATCTTGAACTTCTTCCATTTTCTAATAATTGCGCCAACAGTTGTTGCCTTCTCACCAAGCTGCTTGCCTATTGTCCTGTAGCCCATCCCAGCCTTGTGCAGGTCTACAATTTTATCCCTGATGTCCTTACACAGCTCTCTGGTCTTGGCCATTGTGGAGAGGTTGGAGTCTGTTTGATTGAGTGTGTGGACAGGTGTCTTTTATACAGGTAACGAGTTCAAACAGGTGCAGTTAATACAGGTAATGAGTGGAGAAAAGGAGGGCTTCTTAAAGAAAAACTAACAGGTCTGTGAGAGCCGGAATTCTTACTGGTTGGTAGGTGATCAAATACTTATGTCATGCAATAAAATGCAAATTAATTACTTAAAAATCATACAATGTGATTTTCTGGATTTTTGTTTTAGATTCCGTCTCTCACAGTTGAAGTGTACCTATGATAAAGATTACAGACCTCTACATGCTTTGTAAGTAGGAAAACCTGCAAAATTGGCAGTGTATCAAATACTTGTTCTCCCCACTGTATGTGTGTGTATACTGTATGATGTCTGACGTGTACCATGTGAGAGAGCCTGTTCATGTAGCTCATTCCTTACACATTTGAATCTGCTGATGCTGCTCTATATTCTCCAGTTAATAACAAACCACCACACAGATTAACGCATCAGATATCTCAGGTCCTATAGTAACTGTTAAGGCCAGCCATCCACTTAAACTAACCCTGCTAGCATCAGCTATCTCAGGTCCTATAGCAACTGTTAAGGCCAGCCATCCACTTAAACTAACCCTGCTAGCATCAGCTATATCAGGTCCTATAGCAACTGCTAAGGCCTAGGCCAGCCATCCACTTAAACTAACCCTGCTAGCATCAGCTATCTCAGGTCCTATAGCAACTGCTAAGGCCTAGGCCAGCCATCCACTTAAACTAACCCTGTTAGCATCAGCTAGCATTGCCAGCATAACTACACCAGGCACAGGATTCAATTAACTAGCATGGTCCCAGATCTGTTTGACACGGCATGACAATAACCATAGGAGTTGGCAATACAGTACCAACAGATATGGGACCAGGCTATCAATTAACTTTACTAACCTAAAACCAGTGGTGTAAAATATTTAAGTAAAAATACTTTAAAGTACCACTTAAGTCATTTTTTGGGTATCTGTACTTTACTATTTATATTTTTGACTACTTTTACTTCCTAAAGAAAATAATGTACTTTTTATTTTACTCCATCCATTTTCCCTGACACCCAAAAGTACTCTGAATGCTTAGCAGGACTGGAAAATGGTCAAATTCATGCACTTCTCAAGAGAACATCCCTGGTCATCCCTACTGCCTCTGATCTGGTGGACTCACTAAACAAATATGCTTCTTTTGTAAATTATGTCTGAGTGTTGGAGTGTGCCCCTGGCTAAATGTAAAACAATAAAATACATTGTGGCGTCTGGTTTGGCTTAATATAAGGAATAGGAAATAATTTATACTTTTACTTTATTTTAGCAATTACATGTACTTTGATACTTAAGTATATTTAAAGCAAATACTTTTAGACTTTAACTCAAGTTGTATTTTACTGGGTGACTTTCACTTTTACTTGAGTCATTTTCTATTAAGGTATCTTTACTTTTACTCGAGTATGACAACAGGGTACTTTTTCCACCACTGCCTAGAACCACAGGTTCAGTTTATAGAGTACTACTGACGAAAGCACCAACCAGTGCTTCTGACAGACTAATCCAAGACCAGAGGCTATCTGAAAAAACATAGTATGTTAGTTGGTGGCGGTAGCCTAGTGGTTAACAGCGTTGGGCCAGTAACCGAAAAGGTCGCTGGTTCGAATCCCTGATCCGGCAAGGTGTAAAAATCTGCCGTTCTGCCTTTGAGCAATGCAGTTAACCCCAACTGCTCCCTGGGCGCCGATGATGTGGACGTTGATTAAGGCAGCCCCCCGCATTCAGAGGGGTTGGGTTAAATGCGGAAGACACATTTCGGTTGAATGCATTCAGTTGTGCAACTGACTAGGTATCCCCCTTTCCATTTCCCTAGTCTGATCATCTCCAAACAGGCAGCAAGGTTTGGGCTACTAAGGTTCCTCCATTAACGCCGATACAGGGTGTTAGCCGATACAGGGTGTTAGCCGATACAGGGAGTTAGCCGATACAGGGAGTTAGCCGATACAGGGTGTTAGCCGATACAGGGTGTTAGCCGATACAGGGTGTTAGCCGAGACAGGGTGTTAGTCGAGACAGGGTGTTAGCCGATACAGGCAGTTAGTAGAGGAATGCACACTAACACCCTGCACCAGAGCTAGATATAGGCCAAGTATGATATTGTAGGTGGCAATTCCTCAATATGGCAGAATCAGAACAGCACCAGTTCCAGGTTGGCCATGGACCACCACAAGATGGACAGCATATCATTCACAACTAGACACTGTATCACTATAACCAACAACAATATCATCGCACACTGTCCCTCAATTCCTACACCTCAGGCAAGATGTGGTAGTAGGGTTTTGGGAGTCTGTGGTGAAGAGTTAGGATATGCAGAGCTCAGGTGCTGCAGGGGAGAACGTGAAAAAATAAAAAGGTGCTTTGTTTTTGGATTTAGAGATGAGCTGTGGTTTGTCAGGGTGGTGTGAGCCTGTCTGTTCTGTTTACCTTACCTTTCCTCTTAGGTCCAATACATTTGGGTGCTTGTCTATATGCCCTCTCTCTGTGTGTGTGTGTGTGTGTGTGTGTGTGTGTGTGTGTGTGTGTGTGTGTGTGTGTGTGTGTGTGTGTGTGTGTGTGTGTGAGTGAGAGAGTGTGAGTGCGTGTGTGCTTGCGTGGCAGGGGTTGGAACCGGTTCAGGGAACAGAACAGAAAACCGAAAAAGAACAAACATTTTCGAGAAACAGAATCAGAACTAAAGTTATCTATACTGTTCCGGAACATAACGATTATTTTACGTTCCGGGCATTTTTTTTACAGTCCCACAAAAAAAACACAACAAAGTGCATATGCAAAACCCTCACTCTGTCACTCAGAAACTTATTCCAGATTCATACTACAGCTATGACAATGTTTGTATTGGTAGTAGTATGAGTTGGGATTATGCCGGTTCATTGCTTAGCTAACTAAACAAAAGACTCCACTTCGCCAGATGATTACAGTGCATTCGAAAGTATTCAGACCCCTTCTCTTTTTCCACATTGTTACATTAGAGCCATATTCTAAAATGGATTAAATAAATAAAAATCTTCATCAATCTACACACAATACCCCATAATGACAAAGCAAAAACAGAATTTCTGCAAATGTATAAACAATTTAAAACAGAAATACCTTATTTACATAAGTATTCAGACCCTTTGCTATGAGACTCGAAATTCAGCTCAGGTGCATCCTGTTTCCATTGATCATCCTTGAGATGTTTCTACAACTTCATTTGAGTCCACCTGTGGTAAATTCAATTGAATGGAAGAAGTTTGGAACCACCAAGACTCTTCCTAGAGCTGGCCGCCCGGCCAAACTGAGCAAGAGAAGGGCCTTGGTCAGGGAGGTGACCAAGAACCCGATGGTCACCCTGACAGAGCTCCAGAGTTCCTCTGTGGAGATGGGAGAACATTCCAGATGGCAACCATCTCTGCAGCACTCCACAAATCAGGCCTTTATGGTAGAGTGGCCAGACGGAAGCCACTCCTCAGTAAAAGGCACATGACAGCCCGCTTGGAGTTTGCCAAAAGGCACCTAAAGACTCTCAGACCATGAGAAACAAGATTGGTCTGATGAAACCAAGATTGAACTCTTTGGCCTGAATGCCAAGCATCACGTCTGGAGGGAACCTGGCACCATCCCAACGGTGAAGCATGGTGGTGGCAGCATCATGCTGTAGGGATGTTTTTCAGCGGCAGGGACTGGGAGACTAGTCAGGATCGAGGGAAAGATGAAGGGTGCAAAGTACAGAGAGATCCTTGATGAAAACCTGCTCCAGAGCACTCAGGACCTCAGACTGGGGCGAAGGTTCACATTCCAACAGGACAATGACCCTAAGCACACAGCCAAGACAACGCAGGAGTGGCTTCAGAACAAGTCTCTGAATGTCCTTGAGTGGCCCAGCCAGAGCCCGGACTTGAACCCGATCTAACATCTCTGGAGAGACCTGAAAATAGCTGTGCAGCGACGCTCCCAATCCAACCTGACAGAGCTTGAGAGGATCTGCAGAGAAGAATGGGAGAAACTCCCCAAATACAGGTGTGCCAAGCTTGTAGCATCATACCCAAGAAGACTCAAGGCTGTAATCGCTGCCAAAGGTGATTCAACAAAGTACTGAGTAAAGGGTCTGAATACTTATGTAAATGTGATATTTCATTTCTTTGTTTTTAATAAATTTGCAAAAATGTATATAAACCAGTTTTTGCTTTGTCATTATGGGGTATTGTGTGTAGATTGATGAGGGGGGAAAAAAACAATGTAATCCATTTTAGAATAAGGCTGTAACGTAACAAAATGTGGAAAAAGTCAAGGGGTCTGAATACTTTCCGAATGTACTGTAAATGACCCATCGAGTTAGCCAGGTGTGCCTAGGGGTGATTACGGCCATCTATTGTATTTCATGAACATGTGTACATGTCTAGACAATAGTGACCCATCCACTTAGTTAGATGTGACTGAGGGGTGGTTATAGCATTTCCTTCACATTACCCATCAATTTAGACAAGTGTGTCGGGTAAGCGTCATCTAATAATTATAAAATATTTATAAAATATTTTTATCTGGACACTTTCAGTTTTTGATATTGCTGCTATGCAAGTAACCATTTCACTGTACCGTTTACACCTTTTGTATCCTGTGCATGTGACAAATAAACTTAGATTTTATCTGATATAGTGTGTTTTTACCAGAGACCAAAGTGCGAGTGGCGCAGTGGTCTAAGGCACTGCATCGCAGTGCTAGCTGTGCCACTAGAGATCCTGGTTCGAATCCAGGCTCTGTCATAGCCGGCCGCGACCGGGAGACCCATGGGGCGGCGCACAATTGGCCCAGCGTTGTCCAGGGTAGGGGAGGGAATGGCCGGCAGGGAATGGCCGGCAGGGATGTAGCTCAGTTGGTAGAGCGTGGCGTTTGCAACGCCAGGGTTGTGGGTTCGATTCCCACGGGGGGCCAGTATGAAAAATTTAAGTCACTCTGGATAAGAGCGTCTGCTAAATGACTAAAATGTAAAGTCAGATTAGGATTTAGGCCAAGGACTAGTGTGATGCGTGTGATAGAAGGAGCCAGGCGCATGAGAGTAATACGCATCCAAAAAGTTTATTCCGTCGATAAACAGTTGCGCAAGCATGCGACAACAACACTCAGGCACAGGGGAAATATCTACCCTGGCAACAACAAGGTAAGGGTAGCTACACACAGCTCACTACAAACAATCACCCACACAGACAAGGAAGCAGAGGGAACACTTTTACAATTACTAATTGGGGATAAGGACCAGGTGTGTGTGATTAATTAGACAAGACAAGTGGAGTGATGATAAATGGATCGGCAGCAGCTAGTAAGCCGGTGACGACGAACGCCGAAACCTGCCCGAACAAGGAGGGGAGGCAGCATCGGCGGAAGTCGTGACAACTAGATTAAGTGTATTTTTACCTGGAGTTTTTCCTTATTGTAGGCTACTACTTTTACCACTTTTAGTCTTGAAATCTTTGGTTGTTTACTAAACTACTCACTCTGTTTAGCACATGGCCTCACATGTGAATCCTTAAAGAGATGGGTGGAGCTAAGATTTAAGAGGGTGTGAGCGATGCTGAACGGGTGTAGACAAAGAAGAGCTCTCCAGTAGGTGTACCAAAACATTCAAGGGCCATTTTCTCAAAAGTGGGGTTCCAAGTTGATCAACTTTCAAAAGCAGAATTACTTTCCCATTGTTCCTCAACTGCAGTGTATGATATACAATTTTCTAGCTCTGAGTCTCTACTTTTATCCAATGTAAAAAACACAATTTCAAATTTTGCTACATAAGACCGAATCGAGGCGGTCAGTCACATATCACCTCACAATTGCGCATTCCTCTCCCTTCCGTAGCAGACGTAAAAGTAGACAAGTAGATGCGCAATGGATTATAGTCATTGTAGTTAATTACCACGTTTAATGCGCTAAACTATGTAGAATATTGGCCTGTTGGAAACTACAACTCCCTACTACATCGTCACAGTTCAGGCTGGATCTGATTTATCTCTAGAGAAACGGTTTGATGTGTGCATTTAGCTCATGAAATGGAATTCAAATAATTGAACCGACTACTGTGTTAGTGTGTAGGCTACCTGCCCTTCCTCCTCCTAAGCTACTAGCCTACTGAAGTTACAAGCGTGATTCCGAAATTAGGGAGAGAGATTTTTTATTTGAGAATGGATTAACTTTTTCAATGCTAGTTAACGATACTATAGTTATCACGTTTCACATTGGATTTATTAACTACAAAAAGGTAAGAAGTGTTTTTATTTTAATTCTGGTGCCGCTCTGCACACACAAGCTTGTTAGATAGCTAGCTAGCTAGGTCTGGTCCAACGTAAAGTCCAACTCTCAGAAGTTCAGACATTCAAAGTTCCTTCATAGAAGCCCCTCCTCCGTAGGTTTAATTATGTGGGCCTAATTCAGATAATGCATGTCATAACAAGATGCCCAGCGCTTCAAGCCAAGTCTCCTCCTCCACCCTCTCTCATTCTCTCCCCATCTGCAAAATGTCAGTCGCATCTCATGCCATACACCTGTCTGTTCAATGCATGTAAACAACTAAACTCAACAAAAAAATAAACGTCCTCTTACTATCAACTGCGTTTATTTTCAGCAAACTTAACATGTGTAAATATTTGTATGAACATAACAAGATTCAACAAGTGAGACATAAACTGAACAAGTTCCACAGACATGTGACTAACATAAATGGATTAATGTGTACCTGAACAAAGGGGGGGTCAAAATCAAAAGTAACAATCAGTATCTGGTGTGGCCACCAGCTGCATTAAGTACTGCAGTGCATCTCCTCCTCATGGACTGCATCAGATTTGCCAGTTCTTGCTGTGAGATGTTACCCCACTCTTCCACCAAGGCACCTGCAAGTTCCCAGACATTTCTGGGGGGAATGGCCCTAGCCCTCACCCTCCGGGGATAACAGGTCCCAGACGTGCTGAATGGGATTGAGATCCGGGCTCGTCGCTGGCCATGGCAGAACACTGACATTCCTGTTTTGCAGGAAATCACTCACAGAATGAGCAGAATGGCTGGTGGCATTGTCATGCTGGAGGGTCATGTCAGGATGAGCCTGCAGGAAGGGTACCACATGAGGGAGGAGGATGTCTGCCCTGTAATGCACAGCGTTGAGATTGCCTGCAATGACAACAAGCTCAATCCGATGATGCTGTGACACACCGCCCCAGACCATGACGGACCCTCCACCTCCAAATTGATCCCGCCTCCAGAGTACAGGCTCGTTGTATACGCTCATTCTTCGACGATTAACGCAAAATGCGACCTGCACCCCTGATGAGACAAAACGCGACTCGTCAGAGTGACGAGCACTTCTTTTTGCCAGTAGATCTGCGAGTCCAGACCGACGGCTGGGTTTGTGCCCATTAGTTACGTTGTTGCCGATGTGATTTCCCTAGCCTTACAACAGAGATATAAGCCGCCTCAGTCCAGCTTCTCAGACCTATTGCGGCAGTCTGAGCACTGATGGAGAGAAGTGTATGCGTTCTGTGCTAACTCGGCAGTTGTGTTGCCATCCCTGTACCTGTCCCAAGTTGCATAGATGTTCGTTGTACCGATTCCTGTCGCAGAGTGTCTGATTACTGTGGTCTAGCCACTGAGAGGACGATCAGACGGTCTGTCCGGATCTACCCTGTAGCACTGTACTAGGCGTCTCAAGGACTACATTGCCAATTTATGCCCTCGAGCCACATACCTGCCGTCCTCATGCCTCCATGCAGCATGCCTAAGGCACGTTCACGCAGATAAGCAGGGACCCTGGGCATCTTTCTTTTGGTGTTTTTCAGAGTCAGTAGAAAGGCCTCTTTAGTGTCCTACATTTTCATAACTGTGACCTTAATTGCCTACCATCTGTAAGCTGTTAGTGTCTTAATGACTGTTCCACAGTGCATGTTCATTAATTGTTTATGGTTCATTGAACAAGCATGGGAAACAGTGTTTAAACCCTTTACAATGAAGATCTGTGAAGTTATTTGGATTTTTACAAATTATCTTTGAAAGACAGGGTCCTGAAAAAGGGATGTTTCTTTTTTTTGCTGAGTTTATTATAGCTTGCCTGCTCCATAGAAAGCTGCTCTATTCGCACTGTTTGGTGAAATAGTTTAATGTCAAGCTAAAATAAAATAAAATAAAGATTTCAGAGGTTTAAAAAGGAACAGAAAGGAATTATATAAGTCGTTACTTTTTCGGGGATCCAACCAGTTCAGAACTTTAATTTGCTGGTCACAACAGTGGAACTGAATGGAAAAAATAATTGTTCTGTTCAGAATTAAATGATTGGAAAATAATTTCGGTTTCCAACCCCTGGTGTGCAGAGGTGCACAATGTTTATGTTTTCTGAGGACATTGCAGCATTACCGTGTACTTTTGACTCATAGCATATGATCTCTGTTCAGACTGATTAACTGTATTAAGGAAAGACTTAGGATAACGGACTCTTAATAAGTTATTGTTCTGGTACGGCACGTGCTGGGCTCTGTGCTGTACAACAGGCTACAATGGATGGCCAATGGCCTCGATCCACAATGACAGTCTGTGGATAGGAAAAATGTGGCTAAGGAATTTTTAAAGGGTTCAGTGGGTAAGCCATGGCTTTGACCACCATCTGTGTGGCATTTAAAGTAAACACTGGCACTTTCTAATGCCAAGGCTTTACGCATCTTAGTACCATCTGCTCCATGACTGTTGGATTCAATGCATGCGCTCCTACGTATCTGGCGCACCTGCAATACTGAAGGGGGGGGGGGGGGGGGGGGGAATCAATGCGCTCCTACGTATCTGGCGCACCTGCAATGCTGAAGGGTGGGGGGAATCAATGCGCTCCTACGTATCTGGCGCACCTGCAATGCTGAAAGGCGAGAGGTCCGACTCCGACACTGCAGTTCCTCACTTCTGTTCTGTGCTCCTCCACATGTTCAATTCAACAACCCCCTCCTCTCACCCCCTGCATTTACGCATGTAACTTGCGTAAGCCTACTAACATTGACCAGTGATGCCACAGAAAGATGTAGTCTATAGCGCATACAGTTAAAAAAAAGAAAAAAGGTCTGCACCACCCCCCCCCCCCCCCCCCACCCCCCCTCTCTCTCTCGTCCACACTTCTGCAACCCCACAAACGTCAATCAATGAGGGCATCCATGCGCATTCAGGGCGTGCATCTTGATGAGCTGCGGTTTCATTGATAAAACCCCAGGGTGAACGTAAGCAAGACAGGCACTTTGGGACATGCAGAAAAAACGGGTCTTGGGTACTTCGGAGTACGAACAGACAAAAAGGCAGAAATATTCCAAGTTTTTTCACAAATAGACAAAAATTCAGAAATATTCAACGTGCAGTTTTATGAAACTGTATAGGCCTACCTGCAGTTTGTCGGACGTAAACACATCCGTGTCTACCTCGCAGGCGATGATGGTCACCATCTCCAGTTTCATATTTATCGATGGCATTCCCTTTCGTAGCTGAGAAAAATATAAATAAAATAAATTATTTCGTTGGGTCCTTGTCTACTTCAGAGAAAGTGCAGTCGCAGCCTCGCAGGTGATTTTAACTCCAATGGGTTCACTTCGGATGAGGTGGTATCCTGACAGTTTGGGTGCGCTATTTGAAGTGAGTGATGCTGCAGCAGAAAACTCTCTCTCGATCTGTTTCGCTCTCCCTCTCTCGCTCTACGCGCTCCAACACAGAGCAGCAGTCAGAAACATTCGCGAGCGCACCAACCAGCGCGCGCTCGGGCACAACATTGACGTCATGAGCAGACTCATTTGTTCATTTACGCTGCAGCTTGTAGAACTACACCGGTTCTTTCTGCCTCCTGTTGTTTATTTTTCCTTCTCATTTAGCCAATGACCATAACTGCGGCAATAGCTCTGAAATTATGTATTCTAGGCCTGCTTCCCCCCAGCAACAATAATCAGGACTGCCTATAATGAAGTCCAAAAAAATATCCTGGAATAGAATTTGACTATTGTCTTGGTTGCATAAATGATAAACGATAATGTTTTGGTACGATAGAACAGGCTGCTTTTTTTTTCTTCTTCTCTTCAGAAATGGAATGCACCATCTAATGTTTGACACTAGGCTAGTCAGTTTGCGTCTGTTCCATTTTAAAATAAAATCCATGTAGGACTATTCTGTTATTGAAATGTCAGAGTTACTTCAATAAGTAAAAACAATCCAGACACCCAGTATAGCCTGCTAATTTACTGTATGATGTAGTGGACATTGCAGAAACAGCCTGTCGTGTAGTAACTACAGTAACCATAGTGTTAACATCTCCCTTACTCGCTCAGCCTTATCCGATTGGTCCAAACTTCCAACAGACTTCAGCATTGCATAACCTCGCACTCATCAACTCTGGCACAAGCTCTCAGTTTCATCATTCACTAGCTAAGACAATAAGCCGCGATGAGTAGGCAATAGGCTGGAAGAAGCAGTCAGACAGACAGTCAGACAGATATGATTCTCTATAACTATTAGGGTGGCTCAATCTGGTTCTGACAGGCCTGAGGCAATGCAGGGTCTATGTTAGGGTGTGAATAGACTAAACAGCAACATGGGCTTCGTCCCAAACGACACCGTATTGCCTATATAGTGCACTACTTTTGACCAGAATCCACAGGGCTCTGGACAAAAGTCGTTCACTATGCAAGGAATAGGGTGCCATTTGGGACAAAGCCCATGTTGCTATAGTAAAATAGAATAGAATAGTGGTACACTTCTTGATCCATTATCGTTAGTACTATTTATGAATATCATGTCATTATGATCATATTAGATTGAGGAGTAGATTGAGGATGTTGCTCGATACGATTAGGCATTTTCTGTGCACTCCTCTAGAGTTTTCTTGCTCCTCATTTCAAATTCTCTCAGTTAGTCAGCATTTTCAAAACCCATCTTAATATTACATTTGAATAAAACCCATAATCTACCCACATTAATCCAGTGATCTTTCAGAGGTGTTTATGCTCCTTGCAAATATGTGATGTGAATGTGAATATTTTGGGTGTCCTGGATATTCAACCTTTATTCCCCTCACCAGATCCCTGATTGATAGGGGATCTAAAATGGTGACATTACTAGATGATTCACTCATAACAGGTTACTTCAGACCACAGAAGTACACAGATATTAAGGAACTGTTGCTAAGTTGACTGTACAATCACAAAATCCACTTATGTGAAACATAATGCACATTTGTACTCCCAAAGTCATGGTTGTGTGTGAGAACATGAAACCAGGGCAGTAGACCCACCCACTAACCCACAATGACACGCAATGCATTCGTAAACATTCAGGATACACACACGAGACTCACACGTCAGAAATCGAACTTCTCCACATCTGACATGAGACATAACAGTCATGTGTTGTTGTGTGTTTTGGTTGTCGAGCTGCAAGGGGCAAGGGCTTCAGGGGGGGGCGGGAATGGGAGTCAGTATGAGCAGGCATGCAGGCCCATTGCAACAGAGGCAGTAGCAGCATCAAAACACACACACACACTGCACACACATATGCACACACAATCACACACACACAAATCCCCCCTCCACACACAAACTATCCCTGCGCCTTCCCAGCGATGGAGGCTGCCAGTGCCACACCACCTCACTCGGCCCTGCCCAGCCACCCCCTGGCGCCACTGCAGCTGCCATAATCTAGGCCAAGCTATTTATAAAGCAAATCAGCGTCAGGCGAAGCGAGCCAGGGGAAACCGCGAGAGAGAAGGAGAGGGTGTGGGGAGAGAGGGAAAGGAAATGAGAGAGAGAGAAAGAAAGAAATAAACATTTAATGGAGAGAGCAGAGAGAGAGAGAGAGAGAGAGGAGAGAGAGAGAGAGAGAGAGAGAGAGAGGAGAGAGAGGAGAGAGAGAGAGAGAGAAAAAAAGGGGGAGAAAGAGACAGAAGGGGGAGAAAGCAATAATTAGAGAAGAGGGAGAGAGAAGCCAGGTGGAGGACAGCAGGTATAGATAATGATAATGCAGACCAGGAGGAGACCTGGACGAGGGCACAGCCGAGAAAGACTCTGACCAGGAGGAGACCTGGACGAGGGCACAGCCGAGAAAGACTCTGACCAGGAGGAGATCTGGACGAGGGCACAGCCGAAAAAGACTCTGACCAGGAGGAAACCTGGATGAGAGTACAGCCAAGAAAGACTGACCAGGAGGAGACCTGGACGAGGGCACAGCCGAGAAAGATTCTGACCAGGAGGAGACCTGGATGAGAGCACAGCCGAGAAAGACTCTGACCAGGAGGAGACCTGGATGAGCGCACAGCCGAGAAAGACTCTGATCAGGAGGAGATCTGGATGAGAGTACAGCCAAGAAAGACTCTGACCAGGAGGAAACCTGGACGAGAGTACAGCCAAGAAAGACTCTGACCAGGAGGAGAGCACAGCCGAGAAAGACTCTAACCAGGAGGAAACCTGGACGAGAGGACAGCCGAGAAAGAATCTGACCAAATGATAGTCCCCTGTAGCTCAGTTGGTAGAGCATGGCGCTTGCAACGCAAGGGTTGTGGGTTCGTTTCCCACGGGGGGCCAGTATGAAAATGTATGAGCTCACTAACTGTAAGTCGCTCTGGATAAGAGCGTCTGCTAAATGACGTAAATGTATAGGAAGAGACCAATGAATATACTTTAAAATGCACTAACACAGTATCGTTACTCTGTTCTTCTCTTCGATACCGGTTCCTATGTTGAATGAGGAGCATATTGAATTAATAGTCTAATATTGTTTTTATTGTATATGCCAGCCTGTGTAGCCAGCAGCTGTGTAGAAGTTTAACCCAGTCCAGAGGTTTAGTGAGGCAGGTTAGACTAAACATTACCAGGCCATGTTTAGTCAGTAGCAGGATGTGGAGGGGTGACTGAAATCCCCTCTGATCACCACCAAACCAGGTCAAATCTTCTAATGATGGGATGGATTCTTTCCCTCGTCCCCATGGTAAAGGACAGTGTTGAAGACAGGAAAGGATTTGTAGACAGGACAGTGTTGAAGTCAGGAGAGTGTTGAAAACAGGAGATTGAAGACAGCACAGCGTTGAAGACAGCACACTGTTGAAAACAACACAGCATTGAAAACAGCACAGCGTTGAAGACAACACAGTATTGAAGACAGCACAGTGTTGAAGACAGCACACTGTTGAAGACAGCACAGTGTTGAAGACAGCACAGTGTTGAAGACAGCACAGTGTTGAAGACAACACTGTGCGTTGAAGAGAGCACAGTGTTGAAGACAGCACTGTGTGTTGAATACAGCATAGTGTTCAAGACAGCACAGCGTTGAAGACAACACTGTGTTGAAGACAAAACTGTGCGTTGAAGACAGCACAGTGTTGAAGACAGTACAGTGTTGAAGACAGTACAGTGTTGAAGACAGCACAGTATTGTAGACAACACAGCGTTGAAAACAGGACAGTGTTGAAGACAGAACAGGGTTGTAGACAGCACAGTGTTGAAATCAGGACACTTGAAGATAACACAGTGTTGAAAACAGCACAGCGTTGAAGACAACACAGTGTTGAAGATAGCACAGCGTTGAAGACAGCACAGTGTTGAAGACAGCACAGTGTTGAAGACAGCACACTGTTGAAGACAGCACAGTGTTGAAGACAGCACAGCGTTGAAAACAGGACAGGGTTGTAGACAGCACAGTGTTGAAGACAACACTGCGTTGAAGACAGCACAGTGTTGAAGACAGCACAGCGTTGAAAACAGCACAGCGTTGAAAACAGCACAGTATTGAAGACAGCAGAGTGTTGAAGACAGCACACTGTTGAAGACAGCACAGTGTTGAAGACAGCACAGCGTTGAAAACAGCACAGTGTTGAAGACAACACAGTATTGAAGAGAGCACACTGTTGAAGACAGCACAGTGTTGAAGTAAGCACAGCGTTGAAGACAGCAAAGTGTTGAAGACAGCACAGCGTTGAAGTCAGCACAGTGTTGAAGACAACACAGTATTGAAGACAGCACAGTGTTGAAGACAGCACACTGTTGAAAACAGCACAGTGTTGAAGAAAACACAGTGTTGAAGAGAGCACACTGTTGAAGACAGCACAGTATTGAAGACAGCACAGTGTTGAAGACAGCACACTGTTGAAAACAGCACAGTGTTGAAGACAACACAGTATTGAAGAGAGCACAGTGTTGAAGACAGCACACTGATGAAGACAGCACAGTGTTGAAATCAGCACAGCGTTGAAGACAGCACAGCGTTGGAGGCAGCACAGCGTTGAAGACAGCACAGTGTTGAAGTAAAACACAGTGTTGAAGCCAGCACAGTGTTGAAGGCTGCACAGCGTTGAAGGCAGCACAGCGTTGAAGGCAGCACAGCGTTGAAGGCAGCACAGTGTTGAAGACAGCACTGCGTTGAAGACAGCACAGCGTTGAAGACAGCACAGCGTTGAAGACAGCACAGCGCTGAAGGCAGCACA